GTACTTTTATAGGAGTTTTCCTTTGACAGCTTTGGGATGCGGTGGTGTGCCTCTTGAGGGTTTCTTCATTCGTTTTCCTAGTTTGTTCATAGCCTTTTTTTTTCCTTATGTTGTTTGACTCTTTGTAGATTATCTCACCTATGCAACGTCTGAAGAACTATCCTTGGCCATAGGAAGTTTTCTTTATTAAATTTTGGGATGAGTTGGTGTCCTCTTATGGGGTTCTTCTTTGCTGTCATCTTTGTGTTCTTTCTGTTGGAAATATGCCCTAAAAGCCAATCATATGATGTAATCTTTAAGGATATTTCATGTATTTGACTTATGTTTAATTCTCTTAAAGGGCAAGTTTATTGTTTATATAGTAAATGTCTCATTAATAGTTACACATGCTTAAACAATAAGTCCATGGGATGTGAGATAGAGAGAAAGTAATCTAAGGAAGTTAGATTTAGGAGACTTTTCCTCTATTATCCTCATAGGATTGTCAAATGGGTACTGACAATCTGGAAAGACCGGTACATGCTTTGTCTTCTCGATTGGGAGGATGATTGGTCTCAAGTCATTCGTGTGGTGATACTAAGACAAGTGTGTGGGTGCTCAATAGAGAATGAGTTCATTGAACGCGATCAAACGAGAGCTTCTTGTATGGAAATTTTACTTATATGTTAAACAAGAAACTCCAAGTTGCAATAATGCAAATTAGTCCTTAGACCTGAGGCACCATGGTTGTCTTATGGGAAGGTTGTGGATTTTTGATGATGCTATAAAGACATGTCCTAATCAAGGATGTGATACAAGCATTGTTGGGATTCTCGAATGACTCATATAGACATGTGAGTGTATAACATGGAATCTCTATTCTTTAGGAAAAGAAGGAGAACGCTTGGAAGATATGATTAAGCAAATCTCTTATCAGAGTATGCGGTATGACCTAGAAAGATGTTCTAGTCATACTAATACAAATCATATAAGACGTGACAATCTCATTAAGGGCTTGATATGCACCATGCCCTAGTAATGAGATTAGGAGTATTGTAATAGGAAAGGGCCTTATTGCATTGTAATTCCAACTGAATAGGTTCTTTGCTTATTCTACTTAGCTTGGATATCCATGACATACTACTAGGTGTCACTCATGAATGGTGGAAGCCCAAAGGACTTATGATTCTAACTAATAGGGAGAATTAAAAAGGAGTTTTAATTCACAATCAATTACGAAGAGTTCAAATTACCCACGCACACCATTAAACTTGAGTTTTGAGAAACCATTATGGAGATGATGAATTGAGGAGATCAATTTAGAGTAGTTAATTGGTTAAGGCAAAATTAATTATGGAATTAATTTAAACGACACAGGATGTCGGAATAGGCTTTAAATGGGAATGTTGAACTTTAGGCTTTATCCTATTGGACATGGAGATTGGGTTGCATGAAAACTTAAATGAAATTGAGCCCAAGAGGTCCAATTCCAAGTGATGGGTGTTCATATGGGCCTTTGGTTGTTAGAGTCAACTTGTTGACTCAAGTAAAAGATGACAATCATCTTTTTGAACCCTAAGGGGTCATTAGTGAAAAACAAGAGAGAGAAAAAAAGCTTTAGCCTTCCAAAAACTCTCTCAAAATCTTTCGTACTACCTTCGTGAGGGATTACTAGCATCATCCTCTCACTAAGCTCATCATCTTCTTCTCAAGCTCTAATTGGGGAAGAGATTTAGAGGTTACCTACTTTGGTTACTTTTGGAAAACCTCTCAAGTTGGAGTTTTTTGAAGGAGTCATTCAAGCTTGAACAACAAGGTGGAGATTTTGAAGGAGCCATTTAAGCTTCAACAACTCTAGTGGAATTCAATCATAGGATTGAAAGCACGCACCAATGGTAACTCCTCCTTCCAATTTTCTTAGAAGTATGTTCTAGAAAAATAGTACAACTATCACTTGGAAAAGTTTTTGTTTTTGAACTCATAGATGCATGCTTAAGCTTTTGTTGCCATGATTTATTTATCTATGTTGATGTTCAAATGAAACCCATGATTTTCTAAAGGTTTCCTACACTTTCTTGATGTGTTCTGTTGTGTCTTTGACCCTTGGTGTGCTATACAACTCTTGTGATGTACAAAGGACTATGAGTTCTCATAGAAGGCTTCTTTTGACTATTGGGATGCATTGATGTACTCTATTCTAGGGCCTACTGTGTCAGTTTCAAGTAGTTTTTTCCATTCTGGTTCTTTGTAACTGTCCAAAGTGGTCTTGAATTAGACTCTTTTGTTTGTCCATGGCATGTGTGGTACTCTTTCCTATGGTGGGGTTTGTCCCTTGTTATTTTCCCAGGAAGGTTTTAATGAGGCCACTACATTTGTGCCGATCTATGTATACCTAGGGGTGGGCATCTTAAACTGAAATACCGAAACCGTACCCTAACCGCACCGTACCATACCGATTTCATACCGTTTCATTTGGTATGGGGAGATATTCGGTATCGTACCGTACCGTACCAATAGAATATGGTATGGTAGCGGTATCAAGATTTTGATACCGGTCAATACCGTACCATACCGAATAGTATAACTTCATGTTTTCGTCATTTATGTTTGGATTGTGTTTGTATTTTTGTAAGCCATAAGACATAATTTTAACTATTTTGGTTTGTAAGCCATAAGCCATAATTTTAACTATTTTGGTTTGTATAAGGCATAATTTTAACTATTTTGGTTTGTAAGCCATAAGGCATGAGTTTTAACCATTTGGGTTTGATGAATGTGTTGATGGATAAATATTGATTTAGTTGATTTGGATATTGAATATGTTGATTAGGATTTGGATATTGAATACATTGAATCTTTGAATTTGTAACTTAGGCATCACTTATTTTGGTGTTGAATATTGAATTGGTTCCTTTTTTAGTTGTATCATTTTGGTATTGAAATCATACCGATACCGTACCGATACTGATTTGGCACGGTACGGTACGGTACCAGTTTTAGCAAACCATAATCCTATATCGTTGTTCACACGTTTTGCGTTTACTCCTGTGGTGGAAGGGCAAAGTTCCCCACTGCCTTGTGAACCATTGACTGGTCAACAAGTTAGCTTTCTTTGGTGTGCGAGCATGCCACTGCTAGCAATGAAGATTCTAGCAGACTTAGTTTAGAATGGATAACTTGCGCCCCAAGTTACTGATTTCTGCAAACAAACGATTGTGAATTTGGGTGAGGAATATCTCCCAAGTAAGTTCTTTTCTTGCCTCAGACTGGTGAGAACTTTAACAATTTATCTCAGTATAAAGAGGTTGTTCTGGCGAGAATGGTTGATCGAATTTAAACTGTCTCGGGCAGAACTGCCTTTTACATAACTATAAAATAAATATCCATGCTAGAAAGATGAAAGGACAATTGGAAATTCATTTATGTCTGGATAGGAGGCTCTGATCCGGGCTGGGCTGGAAATGCCTGGGCTGGACTGGACTGTTTACAACTTCAACTGCTAAGCTTCAGTTGTAAATCGATACCAAAGGTTAATTCTGGTAGAGCTTTAATGTACTTCAAGCTTTTATGAGGCTTTTGAGTGGGCAGAACTGCGGTTTCTTCAGTCTACAAGGGCAGAAGTGGCTGTTCTCGAGGACTTCAGTGGGCTAGAGACTGCACTGTGAAATTTGTTGAGGTTTTCATGTTTGGGAAAAGCTCAAGCTCTACCTATCTTGATTCTTTGCTGAACCAAATTTGTAACGAGAGAAATCTCGTTTTGATTGACTTTTTTCTAAGTCTGAACCTTGGGAATTCTGATATGAAGTTGGTTTCACTTGGAATTCAAGTGGGCTTTTTGGTTGATTTTTGAGTTGTTTGTTTGTTTGATCGTTTTTGATTGATTGTTGTTGAATTGAGTGTCCTCTGCCCTGTTCACTCCTTCTTGTATTTATAAGAAATGTTATCTGGAGTGGGGTAGTAATTCTTTTTAATAATGGGCGGCAAATCTTTCAAAAGATACAAGAAATACAATAATTCAATCCTGGCACTCAACCGTCAGTTCTTAAGATCACTTCCTGTTTCTTTTGAAAGAAAACCCAATATTTTTCCTTAATTCTAGCTGCCCCTTGTGAGAGTTTATTGACTGTGATGGCTAGTATTGATTTATTTGAACAAAACCCCTACTTTCCTGCCTATCTCTTTTCGAGCTTGTAGTCTGCTTATCTCTCGGGAGAATCACTTATAGAAGAAATATCTCTGAAATATATTAATATATAAGGAGATTTGATCTTTCCGAATTTCAGAGATGTCCCTTCCTAGTTTTTGCCAGCTACTGACCCTTCCTTTTATCAACTCTGTGGCAGTTGATTTATTTGACTTTTCAAAGTCTGAGAAAAGAACTTCACGTGGGGTTCTTCTAAAAGTATCTATTTCCAGAATTTTGTTTCTTTTGGGCCCTTTTTGAGATATGGTAATGATTTAGGCCCAGCCTGATTTCTTCTCTCTTTGATTTGTCTAGAACGAATTTTGCCCCTATTTTGTGTATTTTTACATTTCTGCCATCCTTTTGAAAAAACATGGGCTGGGTTCTTTTCCTGTTTGATTTTTGAAGCCCAGGTCCTTTGCTCTACGGGCTTTCTAAGAAATGGGCCTATGTGTTTTTGCTTTTGGCCCAAACAATGCCCCTTTAAGTCTGAACTGTTTTAAAATGGTTTTCAGACTTAAATGATTTTGGCCAATCAATGATGCGCGCCATTTCCTGCCGTTGCACTAGCGCACGCCTGTCTTTTCGTCTAGACTTCATGGGGAAATGGGTTCTAACGGCTAATTAATTTATTTGTAAAGAACCCTCCATTTTTCATTTTCCCCCACGATCTCTTTGCTTGAGTTTAAGATTCCTGCTGATTTCTCTCCTCTTTTTACCAAAAAACCCTAATCTTTGTCTTTGGCTCTCTATTTCTTTCGAAATTCCTTGTTCCTTCGATTCTGCCTTCTTTTATCCTTTCCTGTGCCCATTTGATTTTTCGAGAGAGATAAAGAACATGTCTTCTCCAAACACTCGTGCCAAGAATTCGTCTTCCTCAATTCCTCTTGATTATATCACCGGGGTTGGAGTGGACAATCATGCGATTGCGGTTAGAAGTAAGCTTCACCCCTTCACTAAGAAAAACCTGGACAAGAATGTTCTCCATCTTTTTGAGAACACCCTAGTGCTGGGTCCTCATTGGTTTGGCTCCGTGCTAAAAGAGATGGCGGATTTGTTCAAGGAAGATGCTGAGGCCCCTTTGTGCCTTCAAAGCTCTACGGCCCTGTCTTCTCACACCTGGGTTAGCAAGAACCTGAGCCATTCTTATCCTTCGAGTGAAGTGAGGAATAGTGCCGTGAAGTGGTCTGATTGGAATGACAGACTTTTCTCGAGGCATGTAGCTTACTGGAAGAAGGCTGGGATATATGATGCAATTCTTTTGTCCAAGAATTCCATCAATAAGGATGAGAATTTGCTGGCTGCTGCTTTGTGCTTCTGGAACTCTGCCAACAATACTTTTGACTTCCGCCTAGGGCCTATGAGCCCAACTCTACTAGACCTTGCCCAAATATTTGGATTCAGGCCTCACGAGAGGCCTGCTGATGCTGTTGGCGATTACCATAGGAGCAAAAATCTGGAGAGAGTGGCCAAGCCCTTCACCGTTCTGGCTGCCACGATTAATCAGAACTACTCCTTTTCTAATTTCTTGAAGAAGTTTGGCACTGAGAAGGACATGGATCAGCAACACATGATGTTCCTGTTATATTGGTTGAATAGATTTGTCTTCCCCAATAGGTCCTCGGCAGTTCTGCTAGAATATAAGCATCTGGCAGAAGCCCTTCACAATCACACGGATGTAGGACTTGGTCCTACTGTTCTGGTTCATTTGTATAAGAATATCCACAGTGCCACCCTGGAGAGCCCTCTGAATATCTCTACACCTGGTGCGTTCTGGATGATCCAGATTTGGCTGCAGGTTTACTTCCCGGAATTGAGGTTCTCGGACATTGTTCTGTCTGAAGATCAAGTCATGGTAGCCCCTTGATGTCAGTAGAGGTGCCTAAGCATTCTGTCGAAGAGTATCTCCTGTTTTTTAGGCATTGTACCAAAAGGTCTGCTGCTTAGTGGTAGGTGGTTCTGAGGAGAACCTATCCCTGGTTTCGGGCTGGATACAGAATTTTTGAGAAAGAGCCAGAAGAGGAGGAAGCAAAAATTTCCTTAAGAAAGACATTTTTTAGTGTGATGCTGCCTCGGGACATGCCCTTTGGTGGGGGTAAGCCTCCTAATTACCATTTGGGGGCAGAGGTATATCACCCCAATTTCTGTGCTAGACAGCTTGGCTGCCCCCAACTCATTCCTCTTAAGTCTTATAGAAGCTGCAACCGTGCCACCTCGTGGAGGGATTCTGACGATTTGGATGTGCACAAGGACTGCAGATGTTGGGTGAACAAGATCAACAATAGTGTGGTTGCCCTTTATCCATCATGGGAACCTAATTCCTGCAGCTCCAGTGAGTTTGATGCCTGGTGGAAGGCTCGCTTTGCTGGTCTGCCAGATGCTAGTACTGCTGTGAAAACCCTGTTTGATTCATGGGACTTGGGGACTGTTCTGGCAGAGCCAGAAGCAAGAAAATTCCTGGTGCAGATGGTCAAGGGCATAAACGCTCAAGTGATAGAAGGTAATATTGTTTATTCTGCCTTTCTGTTTTTTGGTTTTCTGTCTTTTGAAAGGTATCCTGACTCTATTATGCCGTTCTTTTCAGATCCTTCTATGACTAGAAACCTTGGGGGACAAAGCATCCAAGCTAGGGGGTAGTTGGTAAGTATCTTGTATCCTGTTTTTAAGCCTGTTTCCTACTGGATTGCCACTCTTTTTGTGTAGTCACTTCTATGATTACTGCTGGAGACCTAGAACTCCCTTTTGGTGATGAGGAGGATGACTATGAGACTTTGGCATAAGTTAGTGCTGAAGTGACTCCCTTTACTAGGAAGAATAAAAGGAAAGAAGTCACACAGGCTCGGGATAGTGCTCTCCAGCCTGATCCCCAAGGTACATATTTTTGTTTTCTGTGAGTTCCTTCTGGTCAATTCTGTTCTTTATATATGACTTTCTTTCTTTGTGCAGTTGAAAACTCCCCTTCTTCTTCTAAAGCAAAGAGATCGAGAAAGAAGGTTGTTGAAGAGAGGGAAGAGCCATCAGCAGTTCTTATTGAAACCACAGAAACTGATGAAGAGCTGCGAGAAGCCTTTGAGGCTGTTGAGCAAGAGAAAGGATAGGAAGAAGACAAAGAAGAAGAATAAGAAGAAGATGTTCCTTTAAAAAAGAAGGACAAATTTTGTGATGAGAGGAGGACATTCCTGCTGAGGTGATAGCAGAAAGTATTGCCTTGGCAAAACAACAAGAGGAAGCTCAGAGGACAGAACTTTTGAGCTCATAATTGGTCCTTCTTGGTGAGGTGGAGGCAGGACGTTCTGCTGCTGCTTCTGCGCCTGATATTGAGGCAGAGCATTCTGCTGCTGCTTCTGCTGGTCCTGTTCCTTAGGTATGTTCTGGATTTTTATTCCTTCAAACTTGTTCTTTCTGTTCTGCTTTGTTTTAGTTTGACATTTTCCTGATATGTCTATTGTTCTCTCCAGGTGGCAGAGGTCCAGACTGCTGGGGTTGTGGCTGTAGTGACCAGTCCTCTGAAACCCCCTATTGTGGCTGTAAGTCTTTAATGTGCTTTTCTTAAAACTCTGTTTCTTCATAATTTGCATAGCTTGGGGTTATACAAAAATTATTTCTGTGCAGATGCCGATCCACTCTATTCCTAGCTCTCCTGCTACTGCCTCATTTGCGGGTCCAGAGCTGGCGGAATTTGAGGCTATGTACCTGGATGCCCAACTAGACAGATTAGAGCAGCTTTTTTCTAACCCAAGCAAGGCCAAGTCTAGAGCAGTGGATGAGGCGGTGGACAGAGTTAGGATATGGCAGTCAACGGAGCTGGATTTGGATGAAGGTGGGGAGGCCATAGATCAATTAATGCAGGATCTGGACCTGCTGCATAAGCAAAATGTGGCTCCCAGGCCCATCCTTGAGATTAGCCTTGGCCTGGCAAGAGACGTGCTTAATCTCCACAACTGTTATGAAGATCTCAAGCCCTTATTCAAGGCTTCTGAATTCTGTCAAGCCACTCATGAAGCTAATCTGGCTGACTATAAGAAGCAAAAAGCAGAATTGGATACGATGGTTGCGGATTACAAAGAAACGAAAACTGATGCTGATAAACTGGAAAAGCACATTTAGGAACTTCAGAAACAGTTAGCCAGCCTGAGGAGTAAGCAGAACAAGCTGGGAGCTGGTTTGGGTACCAAGACCAAGGCCACTTTTCTGGTACAGAACATGGTTTCAGCTTCGAAACCTGCTTTGGAGATTGCTGAGGCCTCTCTCCATCAAGGGATGCTTCTTCAACAAGAAATTTCTATCAAGAAGGCTGGATTGCAAAAAACCCTCGGAAAATTAGGCCTTTAAATTTTAATGGGAAGAATGTAATAAAACTCAGTCATGAGAAGTGACTTTATTTAATATAAACTTTGTTTTTTGGAACTTTTTGTTTTCTTAATTTCCTTTGTTTGTTATAAAAGAAAGCAGAAATAGTAAAGATTAGAAATTTTACAAAAACGAAGTAATAATTAATACACTGTAATAAAAACTTTGAGCCAGAATTCAGACAACACTTTTATTTTGTTGTCCTTCTATTCCAGGATCTGTTTGCGCAGCCTGCGAATCCCACATGGTTGGGTAAAATTTCTTCAACCACTTGCCATTAATTGTCGCAGTGTGAACTTCTCCCTCTTGATCCTGCAACCTGTATGCCCCCATTCCGAGGATCTGATTGATTATGAAAGTACCTTCCCATGTAGGTGACCACTTTCCATAACCAGCCACGTGTGTTCCAAGGGGCAGAACTGCTTTCCAGACTATCTCTCCTTCTTCAAAACTCTTGTTCTTGACTCTTTTGTTGTAAGCCCTTGACACAGCTTGCTTTCCTGCTAGGAGTTTATTGAGGGTGTCAATTCTGCTTGCATCCAATCCTTCCAGTTCTAGCAGCATGGCTTGAGAGTAGTTTTCTCCTACCAGATCATGTTGGTGAGCAATTTTGAGGGACTGAATAGCTATCTCCATAGGCAGAATTGCATCATGACCATAGATTAATGCACAGGGGGTCATGCCAGTTGCTTCTCTTTTTGAAGTTCTATATGCCCATAGAGTTTCTGACAACTTCTCATGCCACTGCTTTGGATTCTTCTCAAGCATTTTTTTGATAATGTTGATGATTACCTTGTTGCTTGATTCTGCCTGCCCGTTAGCTTGAGCATAATAAGGAGTGGATTGAAGCAGCCTGAATTTGAATGCCTCTGCCATATCCAGCATTTCTCCAAATATGAAAGAAGATCCTCTGTCAGTTATGATTGATTCTGGGATGCCAAATCTCTGTATAATCTGTTCTTCTATAAAAGTGATTATTTCTTGAGATGTAGTGGATTTAACAAGGTTGGCTTCTACCCACTTAGTGAAATAGTCTGTGGCAACAATGATAAAACAGTGCTACTAGCTGGATAGATCTTGCCAATGAGGTCCATTGCCCATCCTCTAACGGGCTATGGCTTTACCACTGGATTCATGGGAACTGAAGGAGCCTGCTGGATTGGGCCGTGTCTTTGACAGGACTCATACCTCTTGGAATAGTCAATGCAATCTTTCATCATGGTTGGCTAGAAGTAGCCATACCTTCTAATTAACCAGCACATTTTCCTCCCACCTTGATGCACTCCACAGATTCCTTCATGAGTTTCCCCAATGACTTTCATGTATTCTTTCTTTCTGAGGCACCTTAAAAGCACCTCATCCTTACTCTTTAAAACCAAATCTTCATTCCACATAAGGTAGTTCAAAGCCATGATTCTTACTCTCTTCTCAGAGGGCAAAGTTGGATATCATAAGTAAGTCATGATAGGATTTCTCCAATCATCTTCAGTGATTACGGCAGAATTGACATCTATTTCCATCCCCCTGGTCAGAACAGATGGTAGGCTTTTCTTCCCTATCTTGAGGATTCTTTGTACACAATCTTCAGGCATTTGTATGCCTGTTGCTACCTGAGCCAATTCATTAGCTGCAAAGTTTTCTTCCCTTGGGATATGCTCCCAAGTAGCTTATTTGAATTCTGTCAGAAGATTCCTAGCTGCCACCAAGTAGACGGCTAGAGAGGGACTTAGGCACTTGTATTCCCTAGCAATTTGTTTCAAAACAAGCATGGAATATCCTAAGATTTCCACATATTGGATTCCTAGTTCTACTAGCATCTCTAGGCCTATGATTAGAGCCTCATACTCTGCTCTGTTGTTGGTGCATTGGAAATCCAATTGGAAAGAGTAACAGTGTTTAATTCCAATTGGTTCTTCCAAAACAATTCCTACCGTAGAAGTTATATCAGTTTTTGATCCATCAAAGTATAGCTTCCAAGGTGTGAGATGAACTGAATAGATTTGTTGAGGCAGGTGTGAGCTCTAGTCAATAGATCTGCATTTGCTATGTCCAAAGAGTCCATGTTCTCAATCTCCTCCCCAGGATGATTTGCTAGGAAGTCTGCCACAGCTTGTCCTTTGACAGCTTTCTGAGGAACATATCTGAAGGCAAATTTTGTCAAGGCCAAGGTCCATTTTCCAATTCTGCGTCTCAGCATTGGTCTTGTTAGCATGTACTTGATCAGATCTGTCTTGGCAATGATGTATGGCAGCATGTAGTGTCTGAGTTTCACAGCAGTGAAGTACAAGGCTAGGCAAAGTCTTTCAATTGCAGAATATTTTCTTTCCACCTCTGTCAGAGTTCTGCTCAGGTAGTAGACTGCCTGTTCCTTCCCTTCCTTGTTATCTTGAACTAACAGACTCCCAATGGATACTTCTGATGCAGATACATAAAGCTTGAGTGGTCTGCCTCTCTTTGGGGGGGACAGAACTGGTGGGTTTGAGAGGTAATGCTTGATTTCCTGGAAAGCTTGTTGGTGCTGTTCTTCCCACTTGAAGGTCTGTTCCTGTTTCAATCTTAACAAAGAGGAGAAAGGCTGGATCTTCCCTGCAGAATTGGATATGAATCTCCTTAGAAAATTAATTTTTCCTAAAAGACTCTGCAATTCTTTCTTGTTCCTAGGTGGTAGAGCTTCTATGATGGACTTTGCTTTGTTCTTTTCGATTTCTATGCCTCTCTGGTGGACCAAGAATCCTAGGAAATTTCCTGCTTCAACTCCAAAAACACACTTCTTTGGGTTCATCTTTAGTTTATGTTGCCTTATTCTTAGGAATGCTCTCCTTAGATTTGATATGTGGTTTTCTTCCTCTGGGGTTTTAATCACCACATCATCGATATAAACTTCCAAAGAATGCCCTATCATATCATGGAAGACAGAATTCATTGCCCTTTGATAAGTAGCCCCTGCATTTCTTAAGCCAAAAGGCATTACAGTGTACTCAAAAGCACCTATATGTCCTGGACACATGAAGGCTGTCTTGTGGATGGCTCCTTCTGCCACCATGATCTGATTGTAACCTGCATTGCCATCCATAAAAGATAGCATCTGGTTGTGAGCAGCTCCATCTACTAGCATGTCTGCCATTGGCATAGGGTACTCATCCTTGGGAGAAGCTTCATTTAGATTTTTGTAATCCACACAGATTCTGACTGCCCCAATTTTTCTTTTCAGAACTGGTACAATATTAGCTAGCCAATCAGCATAGATGGCTGGTCTGATGAATCCTGCTTTGAGCAACCTTTCTATTTCTTCTTTGACCTTCAGTTTTGTGTCCATGGACATTCTTCTTCTGGCCTGTTTGACTGGAAGGTATCCCTCTTTGATTGGCAGCTTGTGCTCCACTAATTCCCTGTCTAGACCTGGCATTTCATGATAATGCCAAGCAAAACAATCTCTGAACTCCTGCAATATTGCAATGAGCTCACTCTTGAGCGGTTCTTTCAATAGTGCGCTAATAAAAGTAGGCATTGGATCCTCTTATGTCCCTAAGTTTATTTCCTGTAAAGGATCTTCCACTTCTGGCAGAGAGTCATCCAGTGCTGCTAGCGCAAAATCTAACACTTCCTCCTATAACTCTTCTTCCTCCTGGTCTTCCGTGCTCTCATGAATGAATTCTGCCATGTTGATGGTTGGATTCTGCATGAAGAGCTTTCTTTCCTCCTAGTATATCAACAATTTTTTTGTAATAGATCGGATTGTTGCAGCTTGATCCTTCTCTTGTTGATTGGGACTAAACATCAGAGTTCTGGAAGTTTAGAACAAAAGGTCTATTCCAGTCCTCTAAGGAACTGGTTAGACCATCTTCGATGAGCCTCTGGGTATTCAACCCCATTCTTAGGATATTTTGGTTAATATTTTGGAAGAATTTTGATACTTTGAATTATATTTCCAATATAGGTCTTTCAACTTCCTCTGGAGCAAAACATAATCAAATGAACGAATTTTGGAGTAATTCCAGTTGGAGGACGTACGTGAGTCACTTAGCTTGATCGTATCAAAATATCAGACTTTTCCGCCAAGCGATGATTTCCTGGCGAATAAATGAAATAATAGTGCGCTGTGCTGGAATAGTGACGTTTTGGGCTTTTATTGCGTTTTTGGAGCCCAAGATGACTCAAATGGGTTTGTGGCTTTCTGGAGAAGTGTTTGGAATATTTTTATCTTTAAAACGAGTTATCTTGGGCCATATTTGGAGGAGATTTGAGACCAAAACGTGGCTGGGCAGATTGTGGGCAGATTCTCCTAATCCAATTTGGACTTTATTTCCTAGTCTTATTTTATTTTAACTTAGTTTCCTTGTGGGGATTGGGTAGCTAGGTTTTAGGAGGTATTTAAGCTCCTTTTCACAGCAATTTAGGGAAGCTCCTTTTAGAACTTCTTTTTGGCGTGGGAGCAATTGCTAGGGTTTTGGATTTTCGCTACTTTCAGGTGTTTTCATTCTTATTCATTCGAATGATATTTTCTTGGATTTCAATTATGATTATGTGTAACTAATTCCTTTTGCTAGGGCCGTAAGCCTTAGCATGAATATGTAGTTTTATTAATTTGCTTATGAATGGATGCATGTTTGCTTTGAATTATTAATCACTGTGTTTAAAACTATCTATCTATTTTAATGACTGATCACCATTAGGATATGTAGACAAGTAATTTGATGCAATTTCTGTTGGAACATCACCCTGAAATTGAGGAGGGCTTCTTGTGATTAGTAATTGTAAGTTCACTTAAGGCGAACATCACGCTCTTAAGGGTTGCATGGTTTTTCAAAAGGTTTTCACAAAGCTTAATGAGTCTTGCATGTTTATATTTGATCTGAACATCACAGACGGATTGCATGTTAGATATACGTTTTCGCTTGAACATCACAAGGAAAATATGCATTAGGAAAACCTAACCTTCAAAGCATATATGTGGAAATTCATAAGTAATTGATAGAATTGCATAGGATTGCGACGGTGTTGGCTAAACCCTAGTTTTCTCTAAATTGTTAGTCTTTAAAAAGAAATCGTTTTTCTTCTTTGCTGTTATTATTTCCCAACTTTCAGATTTCTTTTACTGTTAGTTTAATCTTTTCAAATTCATAAACTTCAAATCTTTGATAAAATCTATTTTAGTTATTAATTAAGAGTTAGTTTAATTACAGATTAGTCAAACAATCTTTGGGGACAACGACCTTGCATGAGCATTTATACTACAATTACCTTGTATTCTTGCAAGTATTTTCAGTGATTGTAACCCTGTTTGCGCAGGTACTAAAAATCCTATTAACACCATGGGGGCGGCCGTTTTGCTTGACTCAAGGAAGGTGAAAGGACCAAGGTCATCATGATAGTACCTTGCCTCAAAACACATGGCAGAAGGCAGAAATGGCCGTGGATCGGCCTCTACTATTTCCATGTAACCTTCTTCATTCTACAAAGCTAACTGTTGATGAAGAGTGGAAGGAACACATAGACTCCGATGAATCCAGTCTCTGCCAAGCAATGCATTGTAAGTGGTAGAAGTAGTGTCTACCACAAAGAATGCAATCTTCAGCTTCTTGCTTCCAACTATAACATCTACATCTAAGATCCCATGAGTTTTGGTGATGCCCCCTGCGAAATTGGTGACAGTCAAGCGTGTTGGGATCAAATCCCTCTATGTTCTGCCCATTTTTCTCAGCATTCTGTGAGGCAGAAGATTAATTGCTGCTTCCCCGTCTACCATGATTTTGGGAATAGGAACACCCCCAAAGTTTGCTGTTATGAACAAGGGTTTGAGGTGGTTAGCCATCTCTTTGGTGGGTTTGGGAAAGCAAAGCTGCTCTGCAGCCAGCTTGTTGGTAGTTCCTTCTGTCCTAGGATTGCTTGCTTGCTGCTATGGTGTTTCTTCTGCTTATGCCAACCTGCATTCAAACTCTCATGGGAAAACACGTCTCCCTCCAGAGTGGTTTCTTGCCCCTCTGTAGCCCAGAACTTTTCTGACAGGATGAACACCATGTTGATGCCTAGGTCACCTTGTAATAAGTCCTCCAATTCTGCACCAAAAGCCTCAGTTTCTGCATCCAATTCTCCGTCATGCTTCATGTATTCCTCCTCGTATTCCTCTGTTCTTTCTCCTTGTTCTCCTACTCCGAGGAGTGCATTCTGGTCATCTGCAGATGGTTCATAATCCAGCTGCTCCTCTTCATACTCCTCAGTCCAGTCTTCTTGTCCTTCCATTGGAATAGGATCGGATTTTCCCTGTGGTTGTGGAGTTTTAAGTTGATTTCCTGAGGTGGAGGCAGGATGGATAGAAGGTTACCCTGAAGATTTTGCTTTCATCAGCTTAAGTGGCTGGGGGATTGCTTGTTCTGTCTGGGGAAGCATTTATGGCTCTTTCCCTTTCCTGGTAGAATTGATCTCTCGAAGTATCTGCGCATTACTCCTGTTATTGAGGAATGTGCAGTACTGCCTTTAAACTCTCCTATTTTGAGTTCTTGTTAGCTCTATTGTTGGTCTGCCATTTTTTCCGACAGAATACCAACTGCCTTCTATGATAGCTGCCAAAGGTTTCTCGTTTCCGGGCATTTTTATTGATATTTCCTCCTTGGGCTGCTTAGTCATTCTCCTACTGGGTCGGACAGGCCTGGGATAGTCTTTCTGCTTGGCTCCATCATGGGATGTGGTTCCAACTCAGTCAAAAACACTCGGAGTGGGCTGGTCCTGTCTGTCCAGGACCACCTCTAGCTCAGCTTCACATTTGCACTTGCTGCAGAGCACTACCCCAGCTGAGATAGTTACCTTTGGTCTTTCAGTAGTCTCTCTTGAAACTATTCTGCCTCTGCTGTAGCTGGCTTCTGTCGCTGTTCTGTTCCTCTTCTGTTCTGGCCAATTTAAGTTTACCAGGTTGACTTGCGGTGGGGGAAAAGGGTCTGTTGTGACAGATGGAGGTTTCTCTGCCAGCTTCAGTCTTCTTGCTGTTATTCCTTCCTATATAACATCCCTGAAAACAACACAACTACTGGTAGAATGATTCCAGGAGTTATGCCATCTGCAATACTGTCTGTCCTTGAGTTCTTCTGGCTTGGGCATCCTGTGGGGTGTCTCTATTGCTTTCTGCAGCAACATTTCGTAAAACAAAGCACTCACCTTGGTCAGATCAAAGGAATATACCTTTGTGTTGGTTTGTTTGGAACAAACCCTCCTGTGAATGGTGGCGGCTTTGGATCTCTTGGAGGCTTTGTAAGAGCCTTACAACCGATGGGGTGCTTTAATTTTGCCATCTCTGCCACCGCAATCTCTCTCTCCTCTTAGCCTTATGCATCTTCTTCTGACTCTACCTCAATCATATGTATTGAAGAAGAAGGGGACTTATAATATGTGCCTTTGGAAGAGTTTCTTTTCTGCTGTTCTTCCCTGAGCATCTCCTCGTACTTGGATGCTTTATCTGCCAGTTCTGCCAGGTCTTCAAACAGCATTCCATCAAATCTTTTTCTCAGAGAGATTTTGAGGGCATCCTGAGCCATCTGGATGAAGTGTCTTTCTTCCATAGGGATCCGGCACTTCATTTTGAGCTTCCTGAACCTGGTTATAAAGTCTTGAGTAGCAAGGTCACTGATGGTGACCTCTGGCTGAATCCTATAATAGTAATCATGGAAAACACACTCCATCTGCTCCCAAGTTTGAATAGAATTTGCTGGCAGATTGGTGTACCAAGTAAAAGCTTGTCTAGAAAGAGAATTCCCGAAAAGCCTTAGCTTCAATAGAGGGTTATTCTCTATGGCTATGCACTGGACAGAAAATCTGCCTATGTGCTCAACTGATGAGGCATGGGGATCCTCTCCGTTGAACAAAGTGAAGTTTAGTACTTTGAAACCTGGGGATAAGGGTATGACTTTCTGTAGGTGGGCCTTTCTCCTCTTATGGCTTCAGGCTCCATCATTTCTCTTATCATCCTTTGCAATGCCCCCACGTCATTTAAAACATTAATGGGGAGGAGATTTTGCCCCTATTCTGGTTGGGCGTAGTCAATCCTGGGTTCCGCCCTGTATGGCCTAGGCAGAACTTCTTCCCTGTGTTCTTCCTGTTCTTCCAGATCTGGGTGGTTCCTCCAATTTGCCCCCTGCCTGTTCCTGTCATTGTTAGCAAAAGGGTAGTTTCCCCCTCTGCCTCTCCTTCCTCTTGCGGGTGGAGGGAATGGATTGGGATCCATCCTTTTGGGTTTGTCGGGCAACACTGCTGGTGGTTCAGGCAGAAGTGCCAAAGGTTGATCTTGTGGGGCCACGGGTTGTGGAATAGGTTGAGGCTCTGGCTGGTTCTGCTGAATCCGTCCTGGTGCAGGGCCTTCCGGTCGGACTAGGGCCTGACGCTCTTGGACAGGAAGGGCTCCTCCCCTTTGTCTAGCCTGAATTTCCCCACGTTCTGGCATCCCAGCTATCTGTGCAATAAGAGGATTCTCTTGATATGGCCATGCCAATTCTGGTAGGGGACCATAGGGAAGGTCTAGCTGCTGGACTACAGCATCCGGATTTGGAATTTTGGCTATGGCAGCCTCACAGTCCTTCCTGAACTGCCTGTTGACCTGCCATTGCATCATGGCTGTCATATTATTGAGAGTGTCCTGGCTCCTTTGTGTTGTGACTTCTTGTTGCAACACAGATTCTTGAATCAGGTTTATCCTTCTGGAGCCAGTCCTGGACTGTCTGCTCCCTGTGTTGTCGTGTGCTAAGTGCCTGACATCACTTTCCTCTAACTCCAGTCCTTCCCTGAAAGCCACCTGGTTTATCTCCATGGCGTGGTGTGGGTTCTAGCTAGAGCTTCCAATATTCATAAACTTGAGAAGAATTCTGTGAGAATATGTATACTGAGATATCCCACTGGGCGTGCCAAATTGTTCACCCGTTTTGCGTTTACTCCTGTGGTGGAAGGGCAAAGTTCCCCACTGCCTTGTGAACCATTGACTGGTCAACAAGTCAGCTTTCTTTGGTGTGCGAGCATGCCACTGCTAGCAATGAAGATTCTAGCAGACTTAGTTTAGAATGGATAACTTGAGCCCCAAGTTACTGATTTCTGCAAACAAACGATTGTGAATTTGGGTGAGGAATATCTCCCAAGTAAGTTCTTTTCTTGCCTCAGACAGGTGAGGACTTTAACGATTTATCTCAGTATTCAGTATAAAGAGGTTGTTCTTGCTAGAATGGTTGATGGAATTTAAACTGTCTCGGGCAGAACTGCCTTTTACATAACTATAAAAATAAATATCCATGCTAGAAAGATGAAAGGACAACTGGAAATTCATTTCTGTCTGGATAGGAGGCTCTGATCCGGGCTGGGCTGGAAATGCCTGGGCTGGACAGGACTGTTGACAACTTCAACTGCTAAGCTTCAGTTGTAAATCGATACCAAAGGTTAATTCTAGCAGAGCTTTAATATACTTCAAGCTTTTGTGAGGCTTTTGAGTGGGCAGAACTGCTGTTTCTTCAGTCTACAAGGGCAGAAGTGGCTGTTCTCGAGGACTTCAGTGGGCTAGAGATTGCACTGTGAAATTTGTTGAGGTTTTCATGTTTGGGAAAAGCTCAAGCTCTACCTATCTTGATTCTTTGCTGAACCAAATTTGTAACGAGAGAAATCTCGTTTTGATTGACTTTTTTCTAAGTCTGAACCTTGGGAATTCTGATATGAAGCTGGTTTCACTTGGAATTCAAGTGGGCTTTCTAGTTGATTTTTGAGTTGTTTGTTTGTTTGATTGTTTTTGATTGATTGTTGTTGAATTGAGTGTCCTCTGCCCTGTTCACTCCTTCTTGTATTTATAAGAAATGTTATCTGGAGTGGGGTAGTAATTCTTTTTAATAATGGGCGGCAAATCTTTCAAAAGATACAAGAAATACAATAATTCAATCCTGGCACTCAACCATTAGTTCTTAAGATCACTTCCCTGTTTCTTTTGAAAGAAAACCCTATTTTTCCTTAATTCTACCTGCCCCCTGTGAGAGTTTATAACTATGATGGCTAGTTTTGATTTCTTTGAACAAAATCCCTGCTTTCCTGCCTATCTCTTTTCGAGCTTGTAGTCTACTTATCTCTCGGGAGAATCACTTATAGAAGAAATATCTCTGAAATATATTAATATGTAAGGGGATTTGATCTTTCTGAATTTCAGAGATGTCCCTTCCTAGTTTTTGCCAGCTACTGACCCTTCCTTTTATCAACTCTGCGGCAGTTGATTTATTTGACTTGTCAAAGTCTGAGAAAAGAACTTCACGTGGGGTTCTTCTAAAAGTATCTCTTTCCAGAATTTTGTTTCTTTTGGGCCCTTTTTGAGAGATGGTAATGATCTAGGCCCAGCCCGATTTCTTCTCTCTTTGATTTGTCTAGAATGAATTTTGCCCCTCTTTTGTGTATTTTTACATTTCTGCCATCCTTTTGAAAAAACATGGGCTGGGTTCTTTTCCTGTTTGATTTTTGAAGCCCAGGTCCTTTGCTCTATGGGCTTTCTGAGAAGTGGGCCTGTGTGTTTTTGCTTTTGGCCCAAACAACCGCACCATACCGATTTAAATTTCCGGTATCGGTAGCGGTATGGGCTCAATACCGTACCGTACCGTACCATGCCCACCCCTATGTATACCTATTGTGGTTTATGAATGATATCTTTCTTAAAAAAAAAAAAAAAAAAAAAAAGGAAATTTATAATGAACACAATTTCTTGCTTCGATTTTATATATAAACATTGAAATCTATAAATTGAAATTATTTGGCCCATAATTTAACATAAAAATTATTATTTAAAAAAATTAATTGATTGCATAGAAACGAGTACAACAAAATATGAAGTTGAAACTCGTGAATGAATACATGAAGGAGCTTATGGCTCAAGTGGTTTAGAGCAATTATCCATATGTGTTCAAAATCCTCCCTCTCTCAATATTAAGAGAGATGTTAATGTCACACCCTTATCTGGAAGTAAAGAATATTCCAAAATCACGGTGCGCGAATTGAACAAAATAAAATAAAAAGACTGAAAAATTGGTTAAAATTCATTTCCCTTATATAAAAGATAATAATAATCTTACAAGTGTACAAGATATAAATAAAACTTTATCACTATAAACTAATGCAACTTCTCTGATTTCATCTTTGTTTTGCCCACTAATTGATCTAAAAAATAAAATAGGTGAGGGATGAGAAAACCACCGCTCAGTGAGCAGATTATGTAATATGCTAGTCAAGCAATATCATTTTACACACTCTGTTAGAAAATATAATAAAAATATACACAATCCGAATTATATCACATCATCACTCATATCTTGGTTATCTATCCATTTTTTACATTTGATCCACCTTGTGTTCTTCATTTTTTTGTGCTAAATCCACCATATAAAGAACACAAAATTTGCATAAACAGTTGAAAAGTTATAGGTAAAAAATTGTACAGATGTCAAAAGTGAAAAATAGAGGAAGTTCATAATTTGTCTCTGCCTAAAACATGATAAACTGGTGCTACCATGGTGATACAGTGGCGATACAGTGGTGATAAAAGGGTGATAAAAATTGTTGTTTGTGTTTATTTTGGGTTTCTTGTTTTGTTCATTTCATTTACTTTTTTTTACTCATTCCTAGTTTATAATTGGATGATTAGCACATTAATTTGTGTAAATTATTAATACAACAATTACATATATCAAGAATAAGACGAACAACATATCATATCACCAAATATAATCATACTTTTCTTGACCCCATCACCAAGCATTTGCATATTTATTAATACCATCTTTAAATTTTTTATTTTTTATTTACTTATTATTTTTTAAAATTATTTCTTAAAACGTGTTACGGTTTAATTATGACGCAATTGAGTGCCTCTTTTTGAATGTCACGTTGTTTCTTTCTCCTCTCCTTATTCTTCTTTTCAAATGAAGTAGGCCCATTTCGGCCCAGCCCGTTGGGCTTAGCCCGGCCTGGGCTGATGGGCTTTCTCAAGCTCGGCCTATGAGTCAGGCCTAGACTTTGAATTTTCTAGAAAAAACCAGGTCGACCCGGCCCGTTATTTTTTCTCTCCTCTTTGAAGCCCGACCTGACCCAGCCTAAGCCCATTAAATTTGGGCTGGGCAACCCCGACCCGACCCATTGACGAGCCCTAATTAGACAACTAACTTTGCCTTTTGCACTTAGCAGAAACCATTGTAGGTATATCTGAGGCTTTGGAAAGCTTCAATTTCATATCATCAAATGTACCATGTGATCAATTAATGATTAAAATCATTGCATTACATACAGAAAATTGCTAACTTTATGAATGCAGAGAATCCAAATAAAGAAAAACATGCAACATTCGAACACCTTTATTTGCATTAATTACCATAACCAAAAGTACAACTAGAAAGACATAGCACGGTTTCGTGGAAGGAGAAGGAATGACAAACTAGAAAACAACTCCAAATGCATGTCCAAACTATACTTCTGCATCCCCCACTCTACCCATAGGCCAACTCCAAAGGCAGAGCCCAGTTACATGGACGGAGAAGGAAGAAAAAAACAAGAAAACTACTCCAAATGCATGACTTTATAACACACTGAATTTCTGCATCCCCAACTCTACCTTTTCCATATCGTTAGCCTCACCATTCCAACGATCTTAAGAAACAACTCATGCCTTCTTGTGATCGCAACATCTGCGAGTACAACTCCCACCACAAACCCACTTCCAATTCCAGCCAAACAGAATTTCAAATCAAATTCAAGCGTTCGAGCTGAGCCTGAATCACTGTCTTCTTCAGTTGAAGGTGGCGGTTGAGGGGCCTCTTGATTTCCGCATTTTGGTAATGGATCTCCACACAATCCTGGGTTTCCCTCATATGAAGTGCTATTGAATGAAGTAAGTTGGGTACCTTGCGGAATAGGACCTGTGAGATTGTTGTGAGACACATCAAAGTTCCCAAGGAATGTAAGCCTCGTCAGTTGTTGGGGGATCTGTCCTGAGAGCATGTTGTGTGAAAGGTCCAACGATTCAAGATTCCTTAAGTTCCCCAAGGATGATGGAATTGAACCATTGAGAATGTTGCTGGAAATATTGAGTGAGTGAAGCTCCTTAAGGTTCCCAACAAAATCCAGAATCGTACCTTCAAATTTGTTGCTTGAGATATCAATTGCTGCAAAGCCTTCTTGAATCTTCGAATAGTGCAAATCCAAACCTTTAATTGCTAAAGTGATTGAATAAGCAACACTTCGTCCAATAGAAATACCATTGAGATCATAGTATACATATGCGTACATGTATGTTGACTTGTTTGTTGACTTGTTTATAGTAATATTTGGAAACAAAGGTGGAATCTCACCTTTGAAATTGTTGTAAGACAAATCAAGAATGCGTAATCTGGGGAAGTCAATATTTGTTCTGGACTGTCCAATTACACCATAAAACTCATTATGGGGCATTGCCAGAAGTTTTAACTCTGGAAGAGTCCCCAACCAAATGGGAAAGACATCATTGAATTGATTGTTTGACAAAACCAGATACTCAAGTATCACACAATTTGCCAATGACCTCGGTAATTGGCCCTGCAATTGGTTATGACTAACATCAATCATCCTTAAACTGCTTCTGTTGTTGAATGATTGAGGCATCATGCCATGAAAAGAGTTGCTTCCAAGAAGTAAAAGGATTAGTCCATCACTAAAGTTTCCGAGACACTGAGGAAGCGTGCCACTTAAGTTATTTTTCGACAAGTCAAGGTACAGAAGAGAATTCATATTGCAAAGCAATGGTGAAATTTCTCCAGTAAATTTGTTGTTAGTGGCTCCATATTCTAGCAAGGATGGTGGAGGGACCGGTAATCGTCCATGAAAAATGTTGTTTGAAAGCCTCAAGCAGAGCAAGTTAACCCACGGTATGACAACTGGAAGTTCCCCCGAAAGGAAGTTATCAGTAATGTCTACTAATATCAAAGTTTCCTTGCTTATGTTCCACATCCAGTTTGGTACTTCGCCATGGATGTTGTTTCCTGCTATTTCCAACCGCTCTAACTCTGTCTGATTTCTTAGGAAATATGGGAACTCTTTTAAATTGCATGAACTCAAACCCAGAACGGTGAACTGTGGAATAGTTACATCCATAATATTTGAAAATTGTTCAGTAACAAATTCCAAATTGTTATTACCCAATTGGAGTTGGTAGAGATTTTGTGCCTTCTGAAACATTTGAAACTCCACTACACCGCTCAGGTTATTTGACTGTAGATAAAGGATCTCGAGATTGGTGAGATTGGAAAATGAGGCGGGAATTGAACCATTCAAATGATTAAAAGAAAAATCTAGGTAAACTAGTTTGGTAAAGTTACCTAGCCAAGATGGAATTGGACCAGTGAAATAACTCGTACTAATCCTAAACACAGTCAACTGGGTAAGGTTTGCCAAGGAATCGGGAATTGGACCTCCAAATTTGTTTGCCGAAATGTCTAGATAAGTGAGCTGTCTAAGATTACCAAGTGCAGATGGAACCAAACCTCTTGAAAAATTACATTGGGCCACATCCAACTCTTGCAATGAATTAAGCTTTCCAATCGAAGAAGGTATTGTTCCGAAAAACCTAGTAAACGCAACTTTCAGTAAGATGAGAGGACTACTTTGATTAAATTCAGGAAAATATCCAGTGAGATCTTGATTGTATCTCACACTAAGAACTTTTAAGTTTTGTAAATTGAAAATTCTCACTGGGAATTCGCCAAATAGATCACATTTCTTGATGCTAAGGGATGTCAAAAATGATAAATTTGTCAAGGAAACGGGTATGATTGAAGATATGTTAATGAAACTGAGAGAAAGAGTTTCTAGACTTGTTAAATTTTGAACTAGACTTCTCATGTCCGATGGTTGAAGTTTCAGCAATCCATGAGGATCATAATTAGGTCCTTCAATATTGCAACACAGATCAAGGTATGTCAACTTGGACAAGTGAGAGACTTCAGATGGTACTTGACCAGAAAAGAAAGAGGCAGAGAGGTCAAGATGAGTGAGGCTTGGAAAATTTCTAACGCTAGATGGAATTTGAGAGTAATTGAAATTATTATCGGAGAGGCTTAACCTTTGAAGATGCACCAAGCTGAACAGGCTATTATTGGAGTCGAAAGAGCCGTAGAGATAACTGCTACTCAGATTAAGGCCGATAACATGACCTGTCATCTCGTCACACTCCACACCATCCCACGAGCAGCAACTGCTATTTCCTCCCCCAGCTGGTTTCCATGATGAAACCTTTGGATAAGCACCATCGTACCTTGAGGCAGATTTGTCAATAATAAAGCTCTCCTTGAACTGCAGCAAGGCTGAGCTCTCGTCGGCATGGCAAGATAGCTGCTGCAAAGAGTCCACAAAGTTAGCAACCACAAGATGAAACAGCACCAGAACTAGTAGTTTGGAGAGCATGTGAATGGACATGTTAAATAAGCAATGGGATAGTGTTCTGGTAATTTTTTTTTCTGTGTACTCTTAGCTAAATAAACATCTGTGGAAGTGAAAGTTAGAGAGCTAGCTATTTCTGGACTGCCATGATCAAGTTGTTGGGCAATGACATCACAAGAAAGATGCGGTCGGCAACAATACGGGTTCCGCTGGGGATCAATAAGCTTTAATATTTTACGACACTTTAATATTTTATTTGAGTCAAAAGAATATTTTCAATATAGTAAGAACTGGTAAAAGAAATTTATTTTTTTATGTTAATACAAGCAATAGTGTAAACTATAAAGAGGGGGGAGGGGGTTGTTTCTCGCACACACTATCGTGGTGTCAAGATTTTAGTGTCTAGGAAATGGTTAGTTGTGCAAAGGACTTATAACTTTACAGTTTCCCATACTCGATGTGCTGCGTTCGAATCTCCCTCCCTCAATATCGTATATATATATATATATATATATATATATAAATGATTAATTTTATAAAAAATAAAAAAAATGGAAGCATAAAACACGATTTAAAAATGAAAAACTAAAAAAAAAGTAAAAATTTACCTATGCCCAACCCCGACCACCTACCCCTACCACAGTTCAGTTGCCACTCCAACTGCCTCATCAACCGAAGTGTCCCCTGACCCCAGCCCGACATCATCCTCCCACTACCCTACAGATCTCCGCCCCTAGTCTCCCAAGACTCACTAACACCTCAGAAATTAAATTAAGGAACGAAAGAGAAACTCAGGTACAAGTTCATAGACTATTGCCTTAATTTTTTCCATCTACATTTTTTTTTCGTTCTCATCGATCAAGAATCAAGATCAATGCGATGGATATAAGTACCAAATAGTCATCAGAGAATTGTTTTCTTGGCTGCAAGAGCCTGCAATGGTCTGTGTGGTTAGAACACGTACTTTTTATAATCAAAACAAAGCATTCCTTAAAAAATTGTTCAGCTCTTCCTCTGCTGTCTGTTGTCTGTTGTATGTGGACTACATTCATATTATTATATATTATATAAACTCTGTCGTTGGTCTCCAAAACATTTTAGTCAGCTTCTTGTTTTGTAAATTAAATTAGACACCTTGTATTGTTAGCTGTTCCCTCTAAATTAATGAGATACCTTGACGGCCAACATCCCAAACCAAATACTAATTAGTCTAATGCCGGCGATATTTGTTTAAAACTTAATCAGGTGTGAAGTTATATCACAAAATGTCTCGCAGCTTGTCATGAAAACCACTCACTTATGTATTGTATTAGACATATAAATAGAAGCATTGGTTACCCATATGTTTTTTCTTATCAAGTTAAGCCCATTTTTACACCTTATAACACTTTACTTTTATTTTTTATTTTTATACAGATATAACACTTTCCTTCGATGATGAGTACTGAACCTAGTTTTTAAGCTCGATTTTTCTTATTGCCCATATTTTACTCCTACAAAGCAACTATTAAGTGCCCATTGGGAGCAGAGACGAACCTAGTAAGGAACTAATCTGGACTATAGCCCAGGTGACTTTTCTTGTCTTTCAACTCAAAATTACATTTAGCCCACCTCTATTAGCTAGAAGGTTGACTTGCAAATCTTTGCAAAGAATAGAAAAAGTGCAAACATAAAATAAATATATAAAAAATCCCCGCTTAGTGTGAAATTAATGTTAGATGATATTGGAAACTATTTTTTTCCTTTTAAAAACATTGGAAACTTTACTTTTGATGAATTTAGGGGTGGCATTTTAGACCGAAAAACGGAAAAAACCGCCAAAACCAACTGACAATTTACCGCAATGGAACTGCAATCGTGGGAAACCGAACAACATTTACGGTATGAAGAACCGAACCGTATTTGTGGTTGTGGTTGCGGTATTTGATTTTCAAAACTTGCGGTTACCGCAAACCGCGACTATATTTATAAATAAATAAAAATTGCATTTTGTATATAGCATTGGTGCTCAAACAACACAACGAGGTCCTTCAAATCCACTCACCACCACCAACACTTGAGTTTGTAACTTTAATTTGTAACATTGGTGCATTGCATTTTCCTTTTAGTTTGTAAGTTTAATTAACTTTGAATTGGATTTTTCCTTTGGGTTGTAACTTTAATTCATTTTGCATTGCATTTTCCTTTTGGTTTGTAATTTGGAATTGGAATGCTTGAGAAGTTGAGGAGGTTGAGAATTTATATATGCTTGAGAAGTTGAGGTTGTGAATTTATTTATTTAGGTTGTGAATTTATATTTTTGGGTAAAGTATGCTTGAAATCAAAAGGCTTCAAAAGAAGCATAAAAATTAGGCCTAAAATGTGAAAGATTGGATTTTTATGACACAAAAAGAACTTGCGGTTTTAAACCGCTAATTCACGGTAACCAATCGCTTTTTGCGGTTTCAAAAATCACCATACCGCAAATAATCAGCCGGTTTGCAATTTGAGTAAAAATTCGCAGTTACCGAACTACAACCACCCCTAGATGAATTATGTTCTACATCAATTCTGAGACACGTGATCAACTATTTTTAGATTTTTTGGAAAACCATTCATATCACTAGCTTTCCTTTTCTTCAGGCTATAGCTAAAAGAATCACTTCCATTACATTTTGTCAGAAGAGTTCCAATGAGAAAATCAGTCAAAGGCTTTTATTCAGAAGACTTATATGAATAATATTGATAAGTGAGATTTAATGAATTAATTAGTTGTTGAAATATTGTCTTATACATATTATTTTATAGGTTATACTTTTATAATGTCGGGTCAACATAAAAAACTAAGAGATCAAAGATTCTTTGGATTTCTTTTGTTATAAATGAAATTCACTCGTATCATCGAATTTTCTATCTTTTTAGTAAGTTTGTACGTCAGGTAAATTTAGCCCACCACATTTTGAAATTCCTAAGTCTGTCCTTGTTTGGGAGTGTTTCTGGAGGGGCTAAAAGTGCTTTATGACAACCAAAAGCGCTTCTGGTAGCGTTTAGCAAAAAATTTAGAAGTACTTTTGGGCCGTAGAACCACTTTCTGGATAAGTACTTGTCATGTGCTTCTTCATGAAGCACTTCAATTTCTTATGAAAATTTCAACATTTGTATAATAAAAGCGCTTTTGCTAGAAGCACTTATGAGCAGAAATGCTTTTTACAGAAGCAGTCCCAAACGAACCCTAAGTTATTACCAGCAAAAATCACTTATTTTGAAAGTTCTCTTCCACCTGTCTATTTAGTATTCAGTTATTAAACGTCAAACTACTTTCCTTCAGAGTTGATTTCTCTTATAGCAAATCTAATAATGATTATTTGCAAGCAATCAAATGCCAAACTGGCCCTAAATCTCTTCCCAAACCTCCTATGGCTAGCTCAATCTTCAGTCCAAAAGAGCCAAGTTCCATGTTGGCAACAAACGAATTAACCTAACAACATGATTCAAAAGCGGCAAGGGACTTCTATGTATTAAATTATTTTAATCATCATTTATTATACAATAGCTCTGTGGTTGTAGACAACTGACCTTGCTATACATGTACTTAATTATGAATGCAGAGAATCCAAATACAAAAACACATGCAACACTCGAATATCTTTATTTGCATTTATACATCATCATAACTGATTCTTTCATTAGCATAAGTACAACTCAAAGACAGAGCATGGTTACAATGAAGGAGAAGGAAGAAAACACAAGAAAACGACTATAAATGCGCATGACCTTATTCAATTTCTGGATGCTCTACCACTTCCGTATCATTAGCCTGACAATTCCAACGATCTTAAGAAACAACTCCTGCCTTCTTGTGACCACGACATCAGCAAGAACCACTCCCACTTCCAACTCCAACCATACCAAATATCAAATCAAAATCAAGAGTTGAGCTGAGCCTGAATCATTGTCTTCTTCAGTTTGAAAATAGCTGTTGAGAGGCCTCTTGATTTCCACATTTATTTGGTAATGGATCTCCACACAATCCTGGGTTTCCCTCATATAAAGTGCTGTTGAATGAAGTAAGTTGGGTTTCTTGCGGTATAGGACCTGTGAGATTGTTGTGAGACACATCAAAGTTCCCAAGGAATGTAAGCTGTGTTAGTTGTTAGGGGATTGTCCTGAGAGCTTATTTTGTGAAAGGTCCAAAGATTCAAGATTCGTTAACTTGCCAAGGGATGATAGGATGGAACCAGTGAGAATGTGTTGCAAAGATTGAGCGAGCGAAGCTCCATAAGGTTCCCAATGAACTCTGGATCTTCCCTTCAAATTTGTTGCTGAGATATCAATGGTTGCAAAGCCTTCTTCAATCTTTGAATAGTACAACTCCAGACCCTTAATTGCTATTGTGATTGAGTAAGGAATACTCTGATCAACAACATAAGCATCATTTACTTGATAGACTACGTCGTGGACATATATGTTGACTTGTTTATAGTAATATCTGGAAACAAAGGTGGAATCTTACCTGTGAAATTGTTGAAAGATAAATCAAGAATACGTAACTTGGGGAAGTCAACATTTGTTCTAGACGTCCTATTATATCGTTGAACCGATTATGTCGCATTGCCAAAAGGTCCCCAACCAAATGGGAAAAAACATCATTAAATTGATTGTTTGACAGAACCAGTACTCAAGCATCACACAATTTTCAATGACCTCAGTAATTGCCCGTGCAATTGGTTATGACTAACGTCAATCATCCTTAAACTGCTTCTGTTGTTGTATGATTGAGGGATCATGCCATGAAAAGAGTTTCTTCCAAGAAGTAAAAGGATTAGATCATCACTAAATTTTCCGAGACACTGAGGAAGTGTGCCACTCAAGTTATTTTTCGACAAGTCAAGGTACAGAAAAATAACTCATATTGCAAAGCAATGGTGAAATTTCTCCAATAAATTTGTTGTTGGTCGCTCCATATTCTATAAGGGATGGTGGAGGGATCGGTAATCTTCCATGAAAAGTGTTGAGCGAAAGCCTCAAGCATAGTAGGTTAACCCAGGGTATGAAAACTGAAGTTCATCTAAAATGAAGTTATCATAAATGTCCAAGAATATCAGAGTTTCCTTGCATATGCTCCACATCCAGTTTGGTACTTGGCCATGCATTAACCACTCCAAATTTTCTGATATCTTGGCAAAGATGGAAACTCTCTTAAGTTGTGTTGATGCTCTTTTTCGGAGAGGGTCAACTTAGAGAAAAAGGGGTTTGCCTTCAGCAGGGAAAGGGTCGGGCCTTCAATAAAGGCTAGCCTGCAGAAGACAAAAATAGGGGAAGCAGTCGTCAAGCTCCGGGCACCGGTGTGGTGCCGGCCGAAGGCTCTCCGATGCTTAAGTCAGCTAAGAAGGGTAACTTTTGCAGAGTAATAGTAAAAGGCAGAAAAGTAGTTACCCCTCTTACTAGGGTACTGTTCCCTTTTTATAGGGAAGTGAAAGTGGGAGGTTGGTGTAGATTTCCGATGTGGGACTCTGTGCAAGTCGCCGCGGTGGTGACACGTGTCATGAGAATTAGGTTTAACAGTTTGTGAGCTTTGGCAGTCGGGAGTTTCGGCAGGTGCTTGGCACCTCGGAAGAGTGTCTTCCTTCGGCAGGAGAGAAGGCGTGTCTGCCTTGGTGCTAGTTGTTTTGAGACTGGATATGCTCGGTTGATTATGGTGTAAACAGTAGTCCCCCAAGTTCGCGGTCAAGAAGTGACTTCTGGGTTGGGAACTTGTAAGCTTTTGCGTGATCATGACCGAGCATTCCAGGTTCAGTGGGAGCCGTAGGGCAGTCCCTAGTCCCCCAAGTTGTCAAGCTAGAAGTTGCGTTAACACTTGGAAGGTATGATAAAAGCTGTGTTAGCCTCAGTGATTGTTGGTAGCTGGGTACCTTGAAAAGAAAAGTAGACTTGGGTTTTTGAAGCTTTAGTAAGAAAATCTGTGGGCCTTAGTGTTTATGACCCGGGTCCTGCCGTTTGGTAACCAAGTGATGATTTTGAGTAGCAAAGGCATGGGTCCCAAAAGATTGGGTTGAAGCTTGAAGGAGAAAAGAGTATGGGCTTCCATTTTTTCCATTGTCCTAGCCCCCTTGCCACTTGGTTTTTTTTTTTTTTTTGTTTTATGAATGCCAAGTGGTATGGGCTTGGGTAACACATATTTGTTGAGCTGGGCATGGGATTTTGGTAGAGAGAATCCTTGGGAGCCCATTTCGCTGGTGCCCAAAATAGGAGCTGGGCTCTTTTTTTTTTTTTTTTTTTTTTAGTGAATGCCCTGTGGTATGGGCTTAGGAAAGGCCTTTGGTTTGGCCTAGGCAAAGGGCCCTGGCGAAATTGAATGGTGGGCTGGGATTGATAATTTTTGGGAAGGTTGTTTTAAAGGAAGAAAAAAGGAAATATGGCTGGGGTCCCTTTGTCATTGGCCTAGCTAATTGTTGGGGCTGGCTGTCAATTTAGCAAGGTATGACTCAAGTAGTTGCTAGGGTATTGAGGGGAGGATAAAAAACATCCCACAATGCTTGCCGTTCGGCAAGGTGAAATCAAAAGGGGCCCGGTACTTGGCATGAGCGGGTCTTCGGCAGGGTTTAGTGGCCATAGCTTGGGCCTTGAGGTTTGGCTAGGGAAGTGCGGTTAAGTGGCTGAGTCCAAAGCTAGGCCATGGGGCTGCGTCCTTGTGTTGTTGTAGCTAGGACTTTTACTCCTTCGGTAAGGAGGCCCATTGGGATTGAGCTATGAGGTGTAGGGCTGGTGTTTTTAGAGAGGGGGGTATATATAAATACGTTTGACTATCTCTTGCCGTTCGGCAAGAGATAGCGGGGATATTTTTTTAGGGCACAAAAGAAGAAAGAGGGGGCTCGCAAGAGAGAGCTAGGACTTTCGAAGTCACTGGCAACAGGGGACAGCGGGTTTCAGCGTCTGTGGAGTGTGAAGGTGGAGAGGGGGTCGAGACAGATGCCCAGGGAGGAAGGAGTAGCGCCGGCGGGGGAAGTGCGCGGGACCAAGGGAGGGTGATCTGTCTTGGCAAGGTATGGGGCTGAGTGCATGGTTTCCGCAGACGATCGGAGCTGGGTCCGTAGTGTCGTCATTGGATGTGAGTGGGGTCTTCCCTGTCGGGATTCGTGGAGCGTGAGCGAGGTGAGTGGAACCGAGGATGGGGACCGCCAATTCGTTTTGAATCAGTATGGACCTGCAGCTCAGGCATAAGGTCAGTGGAAAATTTTTGGGGACATCTGACGTTTGTTATCGGCGGTTGGGTGAGGTGTGATATTGATAATACTGTGGAGCCGGACCATTGGAGTTTGAAGGGCACGGGTTTGGACTTTTGAGGGGGGCTGGGCTATTGGCGAGGGTGTCTGATCAAATCCGGCCTCCTCCGTCTTTGTGCTAATTCCAAGTCTTGCGCAAGTTAGTTTTAACAGAAATGCCGTGCGCAAGGGCTTGGTTTTTCAGCTCTAACAAGCTCGCAAGCAAGGCAAGGTTCAGCGAAAGGACTTGGTGTGGTGAACTGGATATAGGAACTTGGTGAGTGTTCTTCAGTTGGTGTTGCGGCTTCTTGACGGTTGGCAAGTTGTAGAGAGGGAGGAAAGAAAAATTGGAGCGGGTCGATGGTATTGGTGTTGTGGTTTCGGGTTCTCGAGCTGGGGGACTATCTTGGGTGCTGGGAAGTAGGCAAGTAGGGAGGAGCGGGCACCTAGGGTCAGGCCCTTAGTGGTTCGGCATCTTTGCGTTTTGGGTGTTGAGAAATCGGGAGCAGGGGGTGGTGATTAAGCGAGTCGGGAAATCTTTGTGCATGGGTATGTTAGCTTGGGTCACGTCGATAGCTGAGCTCTTGGGCTGGGCCTTTGGTGAGCTTAGGAATTTGCGTTGGCTTTTGTTTTTAAGCCAGCCGGAATCCGCTTGGTGCTGGAGCATTTGGGCAAGCAGAGATTTTAAGGTGCCTTGAGCACTTGGTTGAGCTGGGAACTCGGGTCTCTTGAAGCATTTTTACAAATTTGGAGCTAGGCTCCTTGAGAGTTTGGGGCTGAAGCGCTGATTCTGGGTCCTTGCAGCTGGGTGTTTGGGGCAGATAGAGGCCGCGTGGTCATTGAGCCGTTTTTTTTTGAGGGAGATGGGTCAGGGAGGCTCATTTTGTTGCTACATAACTTGCCGTTCGGCAAGGGGGCTTGTAAATGTTTTTGAATGTTTTTGTTGTTTTTTCTTTAACTTTTGAAGGTATGGCTTTGGGGTTTTCAGCTGGGCACCGGTTTACTTCGGCAAGTGCCTGGGCAAGTTCGTGGCGATTGGGGTTTGGGACCGGGGAATGGGTAGCAGAGGTTTTGGATGGAAACTTAGGGGCAATGCTGGCCTAAGTGTTTGGTGCGGTGTCTTGAGCACATAGTTGGTGTGATTTTGTCAATTGTTTTTTTTTCTTGCATTCCATTTCGTGATGCCACATCCCTTGCCGTTCGGCAAGGTGCTAAGGCTATATGGTTTGTAGGTGTCGGCAAAGTGGGAGGCACGGATCAGCCTATGAGCTAGGGATTGAAAGTAAAAACTGGCTATTTAGAGAGGCGGGGCAATTCCTTGTGGAAGCAAGAGCTCGGCCTTGCCGGGGCTGGGATTAAGTGTGACTGGGGTCTAGATCAAATTTAGAGGTCAAAGTGTGCATTTGTGGGAGGCCTTTACATTTTGTTGCTGCCCAATAGACATACATTCGGCAGGGTGTCGTAAATTTTCGATAGTGACACGATTAGAGTGGGTATTCGGTGGTGTTGGAGCTGGCCCCAATTGTAGCTAGTTGGTTGGCAAATTTGGGTGGTCGTGCCGGGTGGGCCCGGACTTTTGGGAGCTGGACTAGGACCGTTGCGGCTTTCCCAAGGCAAAAATTTGGGCATAGCGGTGTGGCACCTGGCTGGGCCTTAGACTACTGTGGCTATAGCACCACGGCATTTAGCATATCGCGGAACGTCCAATTAGGATGCCTTTCCCCCTTTATGTTTGTTGATGGGGTTTTAGGCTAGGTCCTTAAGAGATAGGACAAGGGCGAGCTGCAGCAATCTTGTGGGCAAAATGAATTGGGAGCTCAACATGAGTGGTCACCTTCAACTTCTCGTTTTTTTTTTTTTTTTTTTTGTGGCGGACTAATTTGAAATTGTCAATGCTGGTTAGGTCTCTGAACAGGCCTAGAGTGGGAGGGCCGGCGAACGGTGTGGTTTCGCTGTCACCCCTAGGGCCTAAATAGAATCGTGAGTTAGTGGCCTCACCCCGTCGTTTTTGATCAACGTTGTCAATTTAGCCTTCAGAGTTTCAACCTAGTAGGAACGATGGTGGGGCGTTCCCACTGATCCTCTTTCCCTTCTATCTTTGAACTTCAGCCCTCTCTCCTTTAGGGGAAAAAAAAAAAAAAAAAAAAAAAAAAAAAAAAAAAAAAAAAAAAAAAAAAAAAAAAAAAAAAAAAAAAAAAAAAAAAAAAAAAAAAAAAAAAAAAAAAAAAAAAAAAAAAAAAAAAAAAAAAAAAAAAAAAAAAAAAAAAAAAAAAAAAAAAAAAAAAAAAAAAAAAAAAAAAAAAAAAAAAAAAAAAAAAAAAAAAAAAAAAAAAAAAAAAAAAAAAAAAAAAAAAAAAAAAAAAAAAAAAAAAAAAAAAAAAAAAAAAAAAAAAAAAAAAAAAAAAAAAAAAAAAAAAAAAAAAAAAAAAAAAAAAAAAAAAAAAAAAAAAAAAAAAAAAAAAAAAAAAAAAAAAAAAAAAAAAAAAAAAAAAAAAAAAAAAAAAAAAAAAAAAAAATATGAAATTGAATAACATATTGGACTTTTAATTTTCTTCTTTTTATGTTAGATTGAATTAAGATATGATTAATTTGCAGGTTCAAAGTGAACTTAATGGGGAACACAATAATGGCATATCAAAAAATTTAAGGTGGCTAGCAACTGGTCCAAACATGGCAGTGCCATCATATAGGAGTTATCTTATTAAAGGTATTAAATTTAACACCAAGGCACAAGATGATGTGTGTGCAATTCAAAATAGTGGAGTTTATTTACTTGCACATACTATGAAAGTTGCTAGTGCCAAGGATAAAAACCCAATTCTCTCAAATATGGGTTTTTATGGTGTCATTCAAGAAATTTGGGACCTTTATTACAAAAGTTTACAATCACAGTCTTTAGGTGTGATTGGATAGATAACACTTCTGGTCTTGTAGTCAATGAACTTGAATTTATCCTTGTAGATTTGAGTAAAATTGGACATAGGAATGACCAATTTGTTATGGCTTCTCAAGTCAAACAAGTATTTTTGTTGACGACCCAATGCATCATGGTTGGTCAGTAGTGTTATCAATGCCTAATAGAGAAATAATGATGTTATTGGTGATGATGTCTTAGGTGATGTGAGAATTGAGTGTGAGCCATTTACTAGAGGGATGCCAAATGTTGACACATTTGATAAACTAGGTGTGTTTGGGAGTCAAAATGAGATGGGTGTGAAGATATATGGATTGAATGATGCTCGTAATTTATGACATTACTTATGCCCTAAATGGCTGTGTATGACATTAATTTTGTAAGAAATTGTATTGCATTTTTTTCACTTTCGTTATATAGGGTTTGGGTGCAAAGCTTTCAGTACAATCTGGTTCAAGTACCAAAATACAACGGTCCTATAACAGAATTGCAAAAATAGACGTCCAAATAGTATCAGACGTCATTTTTTTTATCATACGTCATGCAATGGAAGACCTTAAAACCTATAAAAAAACAAATACAAAAATACAAAACACGTCGGTTAAAATGAAATGGACATTAAAAAGTTGTCTGTAAAAAATGAGACGACCGCGATTTACTTACCGCCGTATAAAGCATTACTCAAATGACTGCACATAATCATATAACAACAACGGTAATGATAAGACGTTATTACAGGATATCACGATGGAGAGGCCAAAGAGCCGACATTTAAAAGAGGATAACACGACCTTATAACAGCACACCGATGTATGCAGAAATATCTGCATCTAAACAACATATTTATTGTCGTCTTATAAAATAAACACGACGATGTACTCTCGGTAAGAGTCGTCTTAATAATTTACCCACATCCCAATTTATGTCATAAAGGAAATAGAGATTTAGTGAACAACGTCGTCTTTAGAAAGCAAAATGACGTAGTACAGAGTAACCACATCGTCTTTTAAATATTTCGCGACATTTATATTGCAACATACGACACGGTGTTTTATACTAACAGATGTTGTAAGGTTATTTCCACTGTCAGCATTTAAAATAAAGGAGTCATAAGATCCTCATTCTTCCCATATTTACTGCCGTCATTAATAGTTTTCAAGTCTCCTTGGTGTTCATGTGTCGTGAAATATTCTATACAAATGTCTCCTGTCGAAACAGATGTGTCGTTGTATGTCGTACTAACATTGTTTGTGGTGTACTATAAGACGTGTATATCATTTAATACGTCCACTTTTAAGTTACGGCTGACGGTGTAAATTATTTACAACGTCATCGCTGGAAAAAAAAAGGGTCGTAACAGTTTCTCTTAACCTCATTCTTCCCATATTTACTAAACAACGTCATGTTTTGGGATTGAAACGACCCTTTTTCCCAAATAGAGTCGTCTATACTTTCACAGTTCGTTATTTTTGAGGTTATTTTCTTTATTTTGACGTCGCCTTTTAGTTTCTACTGACGTTGTTTCCTTTAACAACGTCGCTTATTTACCGTCATGGTTGTATATTTTAAAAGATGTCGGTCAATTTCACGATGGTTAGAAAACCTGCAACATGACGGTGGATTCCCGTTGTCTATTGCTCTTTTTGTAGTAGTGATGGGAAAGTAAGGTTGGCATTAAATGTACCTTTTTTATGACTAATTTGTCCTTACTAATAATTTATAATTATAATTTTATCCAACAACTGTTGATATTCCTTTTTAAAAAATTCATATTTCTTAAACCTTCCAACTTCTATTTCCCAGAACGTATCTATTTCTCATAACTTTGTTTACATGAGAAAGGCAAAACTTCTATCTTACCTACGTTTTCATATTCTCATCCTCAAGAGAACTTCAATAAGGTGGGTATTATACTTCTATTCATCACCCAATATTTTCCATGTTTATTTTACTTCTTCCTTTTTTTCTTTCCATTGAGCACCCAAATATATGAATTGACTCTAGTTCTAGGTTTAATAGTTGGATTATTTTATGTCTTTCTACTTTTTCTTTTTCTTTTTCTAGTTTTAACATGTGTGATGGCTCCTCAAATCTCTTTATGTAGAGACAAACTACCAACCCAATATTAGAAGAGTTTTCAAACTCAATCCTCTTCACTTTTTCAAGGAGATTAAATTAATAACCTTACTTGATGAAGCTATTGATGCAAACGTTACTTGTCGTATTTGAATAAAATCTTCCACCTTTGGCAAAACAAAATATATTAGTTTTCGTATTTGTTTATGAATAACCCAAAAGATGTAAGAAAAATTTTATTTGTATTTGAAAAAAAAAATTGAACAAACAAGATTAAAATAACAAGAAAAGAACATGAGAAAGAATGATAGAACGACTAGTTAATGTTGTTTGTTTAAAATACATAAAACCAATTTTCTATGTCAACTAATTAATTTAGGGACAATACTTCCCTTCTTACCTTATGTTGTGGCTCAACCACAAAGTACGTGTGTCCTCTCTTTTTAATTGTCAAAACAACTTCTTTTTCACTTGTTTTGAACAGAAAAAAATAAATTTCCTTTTTTTTTTCACTTCGATTTTTCTCAACCATTTTAAAAATAATAATTTGCTTCTTCAATCAAAATTTTAAGTATTTGTGGCCCTTTCCAACACTAACTTTAATAATCCTTCTACAACCAAAGTTTCCATTGACAACATTTATAGACATAGTTTCTTCATGGAGGATTTTTCAATACATCATCATGTTACCAAGTGAGAAATAAAAACAATGGTATTTGTATTTTCTTTTATGTTTTGGTAAAAGTTTGGTTTAGTAAAAGTGAAAAAAAGAAGAAGTTGTTTTGGACAATTAAAAAAGAGAGGACACATGTCACTTTGCGGTTGAGCCACAACAGAAGGTAGAAGGGAAGTATCAACGATCCAAACCATCTATTTTTCACATCTTCATTTAGAGGTCATCCTTGCAAAATATCATGCAAATTGAAACTCATTAAGGCATCTAATTGATATCAATAAAATCAATTAATGCGTTGCTTTAAGAAAGTATTTTAGTTTCAATTATTTAATTGAGTAGTCAAACGATATCCATTATTTTTGACAGAAAATGTGTAACAAATATCATCGAATTCGTTTATTTTATTTTTTTTTGGTCAGAAGATAATGAGGAGCATGTCACCTCAATATATATATATATATATACACATATTTTATAGTTGAGTGCTGTTATTTCCACCCACCTGTCCTATTTTCCCACCCATCTTATCTTCAAAATTTTATAGACAAATTTACCCCTTTGTAAAATGACTTTTAAGTACTTAAAGAAAAAACCTCAACCCTAAAATAAAAACTCAATTTCATAAGAATTAAAAAAGAAAAAAAATTTGTTAATTAAACAAAGAGACGCCGAATAATGAATGAGAAAGGGAATTTTTGGGAGAATGTTCTATTTCTATATATTGTTCTTTTTTTTAGAACAAGGAGTTCATGAATTCGAAACTAAAATTGAGATGCTTTCAAAGGAATTTAGTCTCTTTGATTGGTTTTTGCGAAGAAGATGGTGAGATGGTTATTGTTTATGATTACATGGCTAATGGACTCTAAAGGAACACCTGTACAAGAGCAACCAACCTCCCATGGAAGCAAAGGTTGGAAATTTGCATTGGAGCTGCTAGAGGATTACATTATCTTCGTACTAGTGCTAGGTGCACCATCATCTGAAATTGGTACTTAGGTAATGAGGGGTAAATTTAACGACACTTAAACAAAACACAACAAACTTCACACACTCTAGACCTTGACCAAATACTCTTATGACTAGTCAACTGTCATATATGAATTATGCCAAACAATAACATACACAGAGCATACCAAGATATATCTGCAAGCCTAGAGAATTACTAATGACAACCTAGGCACTTAGAAGGACCCGTCAATCTAAGCATCCCCTGTGCTAGCAACAATTATGGTGAAAGTGTGTGAATCATCATAATCAAGTAAACACCAAATAGCAGATAATGATGATTAGTCAACTACAAGGACACAAACCCATAATTCATATTGTTTACAACACCATAATTAACCAAGCGTGATTGTACACCAAGGTAGACATGTCTTCCTCCCTGCCAAAGGGAGATGCTCTTCCGAAGGGACAACCACCTGCCGAAGCTCCGAACTGCCAAACCTAAAATACAGGAGACACGTGTCATCATCACAGCAACTTGCACAAAGTCCCACATCGGAACTTTGTGCAAACTTCCTACTTTTACTTCCTTATAAGTAGGGAACAGTAACCAAGAAAAAGGGTAACTTCTCTTCCACTATTACTGTTACTTTACGATAGTCACTACCCCTAGCTGACTCAGGCATCGGAGAGCCTTCGGCCGGCACCACACCGGTGTCCGAAAGCTTAACGACTGCTTCTTCTATTTTTGTCTTCTGCAGGCTAGCCTTTTACTGAAGGCCCAGGCCCTTCCCTTGCTAAAGACAAACCCCTATCTCTAAGTTGACCCTCTCCGAAAAAGAGCATCAACAGTTTGGCGCCGTCTGTGGGAAACCAACACTTAAAACCCATTTTTCTCTACCAGCCCAGCTGGCTCCTTCACCTATCCGGCCCCGTCGCCTCTTCTTCACTCCACACTCAGCCATGCCTACTGAGGGTAGCCGAGATGCCCAGCGCAGTACCCCCCAGGAGGGTACCTCCCAGAGGGGACCGTCGGCGGAGGTCAATCTCCAAGCCGAGGTGGAGCTCCTCCGCGCCAGTGTCGTCAAGATGTCCGAGAGGTGTGACCATCTTCACTCCAAGAATGTTGAGCTGGAGCACGACTACCGCACCCTGAAGCGTAACTGGGAAAGGAACCAAGCCCAGGGCTCCCAACGCAGCCTTACCCCGGAACCTGAACGCACACAGCCAAACCAGCCGGGGCATTCCCACCATAGTCCCCCAATCCAGCCTAGGCCCAGCAAGGGTAAGGAACCCCTCCATCCGGAGGCGACCAAGTCACGGCTTCTCCGTATCTCCCCACCGAGGAACCGGCCTCATGAACCAACGAAGGTCTACAGGGATTGCAGGGATCGTATCCTGGACCGTCAGACGGGACCCTTCTTATCCCCGTTAATCTCCAAGACCCAAAGGTGACACACCTAGGCCCCCCACCAAAACCAACCCGTGTGCTTACAGAGAGGGTATGGGGGACTCGGATGACTGGGGGCATGATTACTCAGAAGAGCACGAGTCTTATCACACACCGAGGAGTTCGGTGGACCTGACCCTTATCTAGCTCCTGGCCACACACACACCAGACCTCCAGCACCCGAGACTCTCCCTCATGCCGACCCGGCAATGAGACTTCTCTTTGAGAAGGTCCGGCGCCTGGAGAATGAGCAGCAGCGCAACCACCAACCCCTCTGGGCGAAGCCGCGACCTGGGCCCTTTACCGAACGCATCCTTAATTACCACCAAGAGAAGGAAATCCAGCCCCTCCGCATCGCCTTCTACACTGGCACAGAGGATCCCCTCACCCACATACATTCTTTCCAGTCTGCCATGGGATGCAAAGGCTTAACGGACGAAGGCATGTGCCTCCTCTTCCCATCTACCCTCAGCGGGGCGGCCCTGAATTGGTTCTACAGGCTGAGCCCCCGCACCATCAATACGTTTGACAGTCTGAAGCAGGCCTTCCTGGACCATTTCATGATCCAGACTGATCGCCTCTACTCTGCGGACGACCTGTACATGCTTAGGCAGGGTGAGGATGAGCCCCTTCGGGAGTATGCAGCCAGGTTCAGCCACGAGTACTCCCCGCTGCCCAGAGACTGATGATCGTGCCGCCTTCGGTGCTTTCAAGAGTGGCCTCCGAGAGTCTAACTTTCGGTACCTTGTGCACAGCAACCCTTGGAACACGTATGCTGAATTAATGAAGCAGGCAGCGGTGCACGCCAAGGCTGAGTATTTCAACACCAAGCGTGGCCCGGCCACCCCGGCACATCATCCTTTCGCTGATCCCCAACCTGCTTCAGCACCCACCTCAGCCCCACCTCAGCATTCTACTCCCGCCCCAAGTGGCCAGGGTACCCAGCAACCCAAACGGAAGGATAACTACCAGCATACCTTCAATAATAACAAACGGGCAGGCACAACCACCACCAGTCCAGCGGGGTCAACCCGCACAGGGCAGGCGATCGGGCTCCACTTCCCTTCTCACCCAAGCCCAGGTTCGAGGTCTTCACCACCCTGAACACCACCTACGAAAATGTCCTGGTGCACGAGGCACCTATCATACCCAAGCCTCCCCCCCGGAGACCAGGCAGCAAGCCCATGCCCAACACGGGTGTCTTCTGTCGCTTTCATCAGTTCGGTGGACATGACACCGAATCTTGTGTTTGCCTTGCGCAACATCATCGAAGGACTTATTCGCGATGGGAAACTGGATAAGTATGTGAACAATCTCCCACCCCCACCTAACCCTCACCAACGTCAGATCAACATGATCTCAACTATCAGTGGTGGTCCCACCCTGGCTGGAACCTCCAACAACTCCATCAAACATTATGTCCGCTCCACCTATGCGCATCAGGTCTTCAGCGCTGAGCAGGGACGCTTGCCGAAGACCCACAAATCAGGCTGGGCTCCCATTACCTTCTGTGAGAGGAGGAGCGCGGTGTTATCCTCCCCCACGATGACCCAATCATTATCCGCGCCGACATTTCTAACTTTGATGTGGGGCGTATCCTGGTGGACACTGGCAGTTCGGTCAGTGTGATGTTTGCTGAGGCCTTCAACGAGCTCCAGGTCCCATCTCACCTGCTCGACCGAAGCATCACCCCCCTGGTGAGCTTCTCTGGTGAGGTGGTCCAGCCCATTGGAAGCATTCATCTCCCCATCTCTATTGGATCGGCACCCCAGCGGAGGACAATCACCACTCCCTTCCTCATTATCGACTGCCCCACAGCCTACAATGTCATCCTCGGCCGCCCCGCCATGGCCCAAATGAAGGTCTTCATCTCCACCCATATGCTGCTGCTCAAGTTTCCTACACCTCATGGCACAGGCACGGTGCGTGGAGACCAACTTGGCGCCCGAAGCTGCTACGCTTCGGCAGTAAGGTCCACCAACCCGCCAACATCGGGGCGAGGCCCTCGCACTAACCCAGTTCCAACACCGGTTCAAGCTGGCACCGAGCGTCCAGAGGACCCTAGGGAGGAATCTGTTACCCCCACAGGCCGAACCTGTGGAAGATCTTGAGCTGGTTACTCTTGATGAAAACATCCCGGACCGACAGGTCAGGATCGGCACCTCTCTCTCACAGGAGCTTCGTTCTGATCTTGTCGCCTTCCTTCGCCTTAATTCTGAGGTCTTCGCCTGGTCGTACAATGACATGCCTGGCATATCACCTGAGATCATATCCCCACCCGGCTCAGCATTAATCCTGCCGTTCGACCCGTTCGGCAGAAGCGTCGTGCTTATGACCCCAGAGCGATACGAGGCCATGAGGGCAGAGGTGGACAAGCTAACTAGCATGGGATTTATCAAAGAGGTGGACTATCCCACCCTGGCTGGCCAATGTGGTGATGGTCCGAAAGGGGCACGAAGGGCTGGCGCATGTGTGTAGACTACACCAACCCTCAATCGGGCCTGCCCGAAGGATAGCTTCCCCCTACCCCGCATCGACCAGTTGGTTGATGCCACAGCTGGCCACGCCCTTCTCAGCTTCATGGATGCTTACTCGGGTACAACCAGATTTTCATGCATCCTGGGGACCACCCCATACCTCCTTCATCACGGATCGTGGCCTTTACTGCTATAAAGGTCATGCCCTTCGGCCTCAAGAATGCCGGGGCCACATATCAGCGTCTGGTGAACGGCATCTTCGCTCCCCTTGATTGGCAACACCATGGAGGTTTATGTCGACGACATGCTCGTCAAGAGTCGCACTACTGACCAGCACATCCCCAACCTCTCAGCCATGTTCACCCATTCTGAAGCAGTATAAGATGAGGCTCAACCCCACCAAGTGTGCATTTGGGGTGGCTTCAGGCAAATTCCTTGGCTTCATGATCAGCCAGAGGGGTATTGAGGCCAACCCAGAAAAGATCAAGGCCATATTAGACATGGCAATACCCAGGACAATCAAGGACATCCAGAGCCTTACCGGGCGAGTCGCAGCCCTGACCAGATTCATCTCCAAGGCCACTGATCGCTGCGCCCCCTTCTTCAAGGCACTTAAGGGTAGCAAGCGGAGTATTACCTGGACCGCTGAGTGCGACAAAGCTTTCAACGAGCTGAAGGCGTATATGGGCCGGGCCCCCTTATTGTCAACACCTGAGCCTGGAGACACCCTCATGATCTATCTCTCCGTCTCGGCTACAGCGTCAGTTCTGTGCTCATCCAGACTAAGAACAGTGCTGAGCACCCCGGTGCATTACGTCAGCAAAGCGTTACAGGACGCCGAGGTTCGGTACCCAGACATCGAGAAATTGGCATTCGCCCTGGTGGTTTCGGCTCGGCGCCTCAGGCCGTACTTTCAGGCTCATACCGTCCATGTCCTAACCAACCAACCACTTCGGCAAGTGTTGCAGAAGCCGGAGACTTCTGGGAGGCTAGTCAAGTGGGCCATTGAGCTTGGCGAATTTGATATCCACTACAAACCCCGCCCAGCCACGAAGGCCAGGCCGTGGCTGACTTTATATCTGAATTCACTGAAACCCATGCCGTGGCCAGTCCACAGATCACGATGGAGCCCACTCCCACCCCGAGCCAGGTCCACGTCGCCCAGCAACGGCACCCTAGACTAACACAGCCCTTATGGACTTTGTATGTGGATGGCTCTTCCAACGCCCAGGGATGCGGAGCTGGCCTTGTCCTCATCTCTCCAGACAAGGTTGTCCTGGAGTACGCCCTTCGCTTCCAATTCCCACGCCTCCCAACAATGAGGCCGAATACGAAGCACTCTTAGCTGGCCTCCGGTTAGCCAAAGAGATGGGCGCTAGGCAAATTCAGATTTTCAGCGACTCACAGCTCGTTGTACACCAGTCAACCAGGACTTCACTGCCAAGGACGTGTCCATGACAGCCTACCTCCAACATACCCGCCATTTGCTTGCAACCTTCAACGCTTACCTCATAAACCAGGTACCACGCTCGGAGAATAGCCACGCCGATGCCCTAGCTAGACTAGCCTCAGCCATAGAGCAGGGCCTTGGCCGCAATATCCACATGGAAATCTTGGATCAGCCAACCCCGCGGGCACCACTTATCTGCGCCATCGATCACAGCCCAACATGGATGGACCCCCTCCTCCAATTTTGCAGAACCAGACTCTACCGCTGACCCTGCTGAGGCCGCGTGTTCGCTATCGCTCCACCCTACCTGAATGGCGCCTTGTACAAGCGCGGATTCACCTACCCTACCTTCGGTGCCTGACCCCAGAGGAAGGCCACTATGTCCTCCGGAAATCCACGAAGGCATCTGTGGTAGTCATTCAGGCGCCCGCTCACTACGCATAAGGCCATTAGGCAGGGATACTTCTGGCCCTCCCTTCACACTGATGCCCAAGCCTTCACCTAGAAGTGCGACAAGTGTCAGCGGTTTGCCAATATCCCTCAACTCCCACCGAACCTTTAACCACCCATGGTCAGTCCTTGGCCATTCGCCCAGTGGGACTTGACCTCATCGGACCTATGCCCGAAGGCAATGGCCAGGTAAATACGCAGTCGTGGCAGTAGACTACTTCACTAAGTGGGCTGAAGCTGAGCCCTGTCCACCATCACTCGGCTCGCATTGAGACGGTCGTTTTGGCAAAATAGCGTGTGCCGCTTCGGCATCCCCAACGCCATCTCACGGCAACGGCCGGCAATTTGACAACGCAAAATTTAGGCATTTTTGTGTTCCACCCTCAGATAAAACTTTGCTTCGCTTCCCCACCCATCCTCAGTCCAATGGCCAGGTCGAAGTCGTGAACAAAATTATCAAGAGACCCTGAAGACCAAGCTTACAAAGCCAAGGGTTGCTGGCCAGATCTACTCCCAGAGGTTCTTTGGGCTTACCGCACCACCTTTCGTACCTCAACGGGAGAAACACGTTTTCCCTTTCCTTTGGTACCGAAGCGGTGGCACCAGTGGAGATTGGCCAGCCAACATACCGACCCTCCACTTACGAGGCCGAGGAAAATAACGAGCAGCTGGCCCTCACCCTCGACTTCATCGACGAGCTTCGTGACCATCCAACATGCGCAACGTCGCATACAAGCACGCATTGCCAAGTACTACAACTCCAGAGTTAAACCTCGAGCTTTCACAACTGGGGACTGGTCATGCGCAAGGTTTCATTAGCCACTAAGAATCCTAATGAAGGTACCCTGGGCCCTACGTGGGAAGGTCCGTATGAGATCACCAAGGTTTGCCGCCCCGGGACTTACCAACTTCGGGACCACAGGGCAAAACGTTGCCTCACCCTTGGAACGCTGACCATCTCAAGAGCTACTACAAGTAAACATACCTAGACCCTAGGACATTGTGTTTTGTTATACTTCGGTCTTGAGCCTCGACTCAAACCCACCATTGTACTTTTTGCCCTTCGGCACCCATCTAATAGAAGCACCCAACTGGGCCCCATTTCTACTTCAGAACTTGGCAGAATGCTTAAGGTAAAAGGTACCACGCTATCATAAAAATCAAAGTAACCCTGCCTTAGGCAGGGAAATATCCATACATGTCAAAAGACTACGTCTGAAATAACTGGGTACAACATAGCAAAAATACAAACAAGCCCTCAGGCATCAGCATGGTCGTCCGCCTCATCCTCGGCAGCTGTGTCAGGATCCACGGTCGACTCCCCTCCGCTAGCATCGGCACCTCCCCGCGTCTCAGCCTCCGAAGGACTCGTGGCCTCGGCAGATGGTGTGGCCGCAAACAATGACTCCCGACCGGAAGGAATGGGAGGAGGAAACACCACTGGTGTCGAAGTTTATATCCAACCCTGGATTAAACCTCGCAACCAGTTTCTCCCACCCATACTGCTCCTCGACCCATCGCGTCCAGCACAAGGCTCTTGAACCTGTCTGAGCCCTGATACTCCTCCACAGCCTCGGCACGAGCCATGCTCAGCTCTTCGGTCCTCCTCCTCTCAGACTCGAGCCTAGCCTCCTCCACCGCCTCCAGCCGCCGGGTCGTCTCCTTCAGCTCCCTCTCTCCTTCGCCTTTCGGCAGTTGACCTGCACCCCGCCAAAGTTGCCCTGTTGCCTGGACACTGAGTACAGATGCATGAACTGCTCAAAGGTGGGCTCCCCTCGTTTCGCCAACCACCACGCTATGTACACCCCGTGCAGTATACACCAGAAGTTGGGATTATACTGCCCAGGGGCATAGCCCAGTCTGGAAAGCATCATTTGCACCCAAGGATGCAATGGTAACCTCAACCCCATGTTTGTACATGGCTGAGAACACCATAACGCAACCCTCGGGAGGGTATCTAGCCGCTTCGGTAGGTATGGGCAACCTCAGCCCCACACAATCAGGTATCGCATAGTCTGCCTTCAGTGACTCTAGATCATACAAACTCATCATATTTTTCTTCGGTAGTGGAACCCCTATTGGGATACCCCACATCAGCGGATGCTACTACCACCGTACCACACCCCGACGGCCCAGCCCGCCCACTTCCACTAGCCTCTGGTGCCTGGGTTTATCCCCAACACCCGGTTTGCACAAGCTTCTAGGGCCACATAGTTCCTTTGCATCTCCCTATAAGCTTCCCCCCCCCAGAACTCCTTGACTGCTCTTCTCCCCCAACCCTATTTCCCTCCACTATCAGCCCCTTCCACCACACGTTCAGACTCAGTACTTTCCCCATCAGTACCCAAGTCTTTCATTAGGGCTACCACTCTCAAACTCTTCCCCACTGAAGGCATGGGGACTTGGGGAGCTTTGACTTTCTCTTTCAGAATTATCAGACATCTACAAACACAAAAAGGGAAACTAAGGGGCATGCGAAGATTGAAAACAAGAGCCTAGGCATGTTTCTTAATATGTTCATGGACGTTCATCTACGTTCATATCACATTCATGCAAAACTCAAACAAAAGAGGCATTTCAATCCAGAAGGGTAGAATGAGCACAAGGCATACCTTGTTATCTCCACCGTCCACGGTTGCCGGAAATCGCCTGGCTCACGAGGGTACCCTCTCAAGCCTCGCCGGAAATCGCTCCGCCGTCCTTGAAATCTCTCGGAAATCGCCCTTGCTCGTCTACTAAAATCTTTCGAAAAATCAAAGTGCTCACTCCTTCAGCCCTCCACAATCTTTTAAAGGCATACGAAGGACCCCTCGATTCTCGCTCCAAGCAATAACTCATCATACCGTTGGGACGCCTCGATTTCCACGAACAGATGTTTCTATACCACTGCCACATGGCACTCATGACGTCACACCTTCCCTTCGGAAGGCTCCCTTCCGAAGCTTGGAAGGACACGCGATGACGTCACACCTTCCCTTCGGAAGGCTCCCTTCCAAAGCTTGGAAGGACCCCTGATGACGTCACACCTTCCCTTCGGAAGGCTCCCTTCCGAAGCTTGGAAGGACCGCGGTGACGTCACACCTTCCCTTCGGAAGGCATGATGACGTCACACCCTTCCCTTCGGAAGGCTCCCTTCCGAAGCTTGGAAGGAGACCTCGTGCTGACGTCACACCTTCCCTTCGGAAGGCATGATGACGTCACACCTTCCCTTCGGAAGGCTCCTTTCCAAAGCTTGGAAGACCCCTCGCGACACGCGGTGACGTCACACCTTCCCTTCGGAAGGCATGATGACGTCACACCTTCCCTTCGGAAGGCTCCCTTCCGAAGCTTGGAAGGACCCCTCGCGACACGCGATGACGTCACACCTTCCCTTCGGAAGGCTCCCTTCCGAAGCTTGGAAGGACCCCCTCGCGACACGCGGTGATGTCACACCTTCCCTTCGGAAGGCATGATGACGTCACACCTTCCCTTCGAAGGCTCCCTTCCAAGCTTGGAAGGAGACCTCGTGCTGACGTCACACCTTCCCTTCGGAAGGCTCCCTTCCGAAGCTTGGAAGGAGACCTCGTGCTGACGTCACACCTTCCCTTCGGAAGGCATGATGACGTCACACCTTCCCTTCGGAAGGCTCCCTTCCGAAGCTTGGAAGGACCCCTCGCGACACGCGATGACGTCACACCTTCCCTTCGGAAGGCATGATGACGTCACACCTTCCCTTCGGAAGGCTCCCTTCCGAAGCTTGGAAGGAGACCTCGTGCTGACGTCACACCTTCCCTTCGGAAGGCATGATGACGTCACACCTTCCCTTCGGAAGGCTCCCTTCCAAAGCTTGGAAGGACCCCTCGCGACACGCGGTGACGTCACACCTTCCCTTCGGAAGGCTCCCTTCCGAAGCTTGGAAGGATGACGTCACACCTTCCCTTCGGAAGGCTCCCTTCCGAAGCTTGGAAGGACCACTTGTGATGACGTCACACCTTCCGTTCGGAAGGCATGATGACGTCACACCTTCCCTTCGGAAGGCTCCCCTCCGAAGCTTGGAAGGAGACCACCCATGACGTCATACCTTACCTTCGGAAGGCTATCTTCGGTAGGCCACCTTCGGCACCCCCATGACCGAAAAAAAAAAAAAAAAAGGGTGCCTTCTAGTTTTCAAACTTGGGGGACTAGGGGACTACCTTCGGCACCCGCCACGCTGACACGCTTGGTTGAATTACACAACCTCTTCACAAGTTCCCAAACCAGAAGCCACTTCTTGATTGACAACTTGGGGGACTACTGTTTACACCATAATTAACCAAGCGTGATTGTACACCAAGGTAGACATGTCTTCCTCCCTGCCAAAGGAGATGCTCTTCCGAAGGGACAACCACCTGCCGAAGCTCCGAACTGCCAAACCTAAAATACAGGAGACACGTGTCATCATCACAGCAACTTGCACAAAGTCCCACATCGGAACTTTGTGCAAACTTCCTACTTTTACTTCCTTATAAGTAGGGAACAGTAACCAAGAAAAAGGGTAACTTCTCTTCCACTATTACTGTTACTTTACGATAGTCACTACCCCTAGCTGACTCAGGCATCGGAGAGCCTTCGGCCGGCACCACACCGGTGTCCGAAGCTTAACGACTGCTTCTTCTATTTTTGTCTTCTGCAGGCTAACCTTTTACTGAAGGCCCAGGCCCTTCCTTTGCTAAAGACAAACCCCTATCTCTAAGTTGACCCTCTCCGAAAAAGAGCATCAACACATATGATGACTAGTCAACCACTAAGAACACAAACCCTGAATTCATACGATGACTAGTCAACCACTAAGAATACAAACCCAGAAAAATTACAGGATGCAATCAGAAATTGTTTACCCAGAAACTCACCATTGGGAAAACTGGGGGTCATCAACCGACCAGACGATCCACTAAGTAGAAAAAGATTCTTACAAGGAAACACAAGCAAGCTCAAGAAAAACCTAGATCTATTTAGAAAGATGAGCTATACCTCCTTTATGCAATCTTCTTCTCCAACTTAGCAAAGCTTGAAGCTCAGTTTCTTCATGGCAATGACAGTTCCTTCTCCAGCTTATTTATCCTATGGCACCAGCTTGCAAGCTCTAACTTAGACAAAACCAAAATTTGGATTCAAAGGAGAATGACCAATTTCTTCAAGAAACCATACTCTTGAAGAAATCAATCTTGAATTTGACCTCGATATATATGAGAGAGTGTTTGATCTAGCAAGATGAGGTTTTCATATTTCAAATGCAGTTTTCAAAAAGAAACATTTGGAAAACTCAAAGATGAAAAATATGAAGGTTACACTTGAGGAAGAAGAGAAAGTTTACAGAGAAACTTTTCAAAACTTGCCTACAAAGTGATGGCTGCCAAATGAGGAATACATGCGTTTTTACACAAAAATTCATAGGTTAGAATCGTACAAGGTAGTAGAGGATTTCACAGAATATGACAAAAAAGTGGGCAGGATCCAGCTGAAAACAGTGACCTGGAAAACCTTACTAACGCAAAGGTTGACTAGTCATATGGAGGATGGATGACTAGTCATATGGAGGATGACTAGTCATACGGAGAAAGGATGACTAGTCATAATCTTCAGGAGTAGGTTAATGCAATGTAATGCAATGCAAAACTTACTTTTGTCAAACACAATGTTGTCCATCATAATGTAGCTAGATAAGAATACCTAGAGAAGTAATTCTTAATCTAAACTTAGAGCTTGGGAAATTACAATGATTGTCCTATTACAAAATTGTCAAGGGAAGCCAAAAAAAAACTCAAAATGCATACATTAGCATCATCCATAGAGATGTGAAAACCACAAACATTCTATTGGACGAGAATTGGGTAGCTAAAGTGTCCGATTCCAGTCTATCAAAATATTAATCAAAATCAAACCCATGTTAGTACAGTTTTGAAGGGTAGCTTTTGGGGGGAATAAAACATAAAGAAAATATATCTCCCCAATGTTAATGAATGAGAGATGAGGGAATTTTGGGATTCAAGAGACAGATTCGCTTGCAGAGAAAGGAAGAGAACAAGTAAGAGGAAGAAAGACACTAAACTCGATCGGCGTTTATTTAAGAATAATTTTTTTTTAATTTACATTTTTTAAGAAAATATATTTGTATGTTTTAATTATGAGAAAAATCAAAGCAGAGGATTCGGATCCTAATGGATTAGCAAAGAGAATTTCTTGAATTAATAATTAAAGGGTATTTTAGGAATAATGGTGGGTGGAAATATAGAATTATTATTATTTTTCAAATTTATATGGTGGGTGGGAAGATAAGGTGGGTACAGAAATAGAACAAGGGTGTGGAAATAGAAGCACTCTTTATAGTTTCAAGAAAATTAAAGACGCTCACTACATAACAAATTAATCCAAATTAATTGTACCAATCATGACAAAAGTAGATACCAACTCATGATTGAAATTTGTGAAAGTGTTTTCCGCCTAATTAGCCTCACAATTAGCATGATCAAGCTTTGTACGCGGAAGTTGCATAAGAAAGGAGACCCTAAGAAGATACTGAATATATATATATATATAAAACAAAAAGCAGAGAATGGTGAAACATTCAAAATATCATAAAATGCTCTTGGTTAATTCAAACATTAAGAATTGAAATTATTAATTAAATTAGGATAATATGATAAATTCACATTTTTTTTCATATTAAAAAAAATTAAAATAAAAAACAAAATCAAATAATAGGTTCTACTTTTATTAGTGATAATTATCCGTACAATTAGTCGGTCGATATTTCAAGTTTTCATCATCTATATATATAGTTATTACGTAAACGTACAGTTTAGGGGTCCATGCCTTGACATAATGCAGTGTAAAAAGACAGTCCTGTACCTAGAAAGAGATTGTTTTGAATTTGAAACGTCAATAAAAATATGTTAATTGTTCTTGAAAACATGGGACACACCAAGGACAGAGTCCACGAATGACGACATGATCTATCTATTGTGCCCAAAAGAAAAACAAAGAAAAATTATGTCACACGTTGATCACAATGCATACTTTTATAAATTAAAATATGAAGTATGATTGATCTTGAAATAATGGAGTTCGATTCCCCCTTTAAAATAATGTACAATATTATAATTAGGAACTTTCTTTTGTACAATCTTGTTACTCATCACTTTGATCACACAACACAACTATGGAAGACATACATGATGCATATAAAAAATATATAAGTTCCGTAAAGGGGTTTGTGACTCAAGTGATTAAGAGTATAGTTATTCTTGTGCCTGATGTCTTATGTTCGAATTCCCCTCTCCATATACGATATATTGCTCTTATTAAAAAAATTAATAATATATATAAAGTATATAATTTAGTATTGTTATAGACGTAGTAAATAATGATGAATAAACAGAACGTTGTAAAAATAAACCCATCCAATAAACATTAGCTTTTGTTGATAAAATACAATTGTTTTACACGACCTTTCTTTTTTGGGTTAAACAACATATTCGTTAAAAAACTTCAGGAATATATTAAAGATATGTACAAACCAATTTCAACATGACTGTAAATCCAAAAGGGAAAACAACCCAATAGGCAAAACTAAATAAAACAGAATCCGCATAAATTATGAAACTTAAATCACGGGAAAACTAAATAAAGCAAAATTCGCGTAAACAACAAAAAGCTCAAATCACCCAAATCTAGCATAGTCTGTATCTTAAACCACACATCCCAAAACAAAGAAAACCTTAAATATGCTGCCTTTTTTGGGGTGAAATTATCTGTTGCATTTGGCAAAAGGTTTTTGAATAAGAAAAAAAAAGGCTTATATGGTTCATCATCAACTACAACACGTTAGAGAAATATTATTTTCGTAATTTTATTTGTATTCTATTTCAAGTATGGAACAATATGTTAACCTAATTATATTATTATTGTGTTTACAACTAATATATAAATGAACTTAATTATTTAAATTTTTGCACTTTGTATTTGTGAAGCTTATTCGTTTTATGCTAATAAATTTTTAGGGATTCACAATACAAAGGTAAGATTTTTTTTATATAAAAAAAATAAATAAATCATTAGATTTTAAGTTAAAAATTTTAACTAGCCAACCACTGAAAAATTTATGTTTCTGCCTTCGCATATATGATATATTGCTTGTATAAAAAAAAGTAATATATACTCTTTTTTTTTTGCTAAAGAATGGAAAATTTTATTCAAAAACAAATTGCAACGGTAACATCAAAGACTAAAATATCAAAAAACCACTCAAGCCACCACATATTCCAATGATGGATCCCTCCTATTCTAGTAAGAAAAGATGCCACTTCATAGGCAGCTCGAAGCGCATAATTCAGTATTGTTGTAGACGTGGTAAATAATGATGACTTAAAACGAACTTCGTAAATTTAAAACAAACCCATCCAATAAACATTAGCTTTCGTTGATAAAATACAATTGTTTCACATGACCCTTTTTTTTTGCGCTAAAGAATGGAAAATTTTATTCAAAGACGAATTGCAACGTTAACATCAGAGACTAAAATATCAAAAAGCCACTCAAGCCACCACATATTCCAATGATGGATCCCTCAAGCCACTCAAGCCACCACATATTCTAGTAAGAAAAGATGCCACCTCATAGGCAGCTCGAAGTGCATAATTTAGTATTATTGTAGACGTGATAAATAATGATGACTAAAAACAAACTTAGTAAATTTAAAACAAACCCATCCAATAAACATTAGCTTTCGTTGACAAAATACAATTGTTTTACATGACCTTTCTTTTTTGGGTTAAACAACGATATTCATTAAAAAACTTCAGGAATACATTAAAGACATGTACAAACCAATTTCAACATGACTACAAATTCGAAAGGAAACAACCCAATAGGTAAATGTAAATCAAACAGAATCCGTGTAAATTATAAAACTAAAATCACAAGAAGACTAAACCGAACAAAATTCGCTAAACAATTAAAAAAAATCAAATCACCAAAATCTAGCATAGTCCGTATCTTTAATCACACATCCCAAAACAAAGAAAACCTTAAATTAAACCATGGCCGCACAGAACCCAAAGGGAGTGACATTAGGCGTGGGAATAAAAATTATGCACGCTAAAAGTGCGCAGCGGAAGATCTCAAATCAAAATCTGTATTTGGAGCAATTGTCAAACTTGAGGTCCCACACGCTTCCTTGTGATTGTATCTAGCCCTTGACAAATTTATCAAGGGGCTAAGAGAAAGCAAATCAAATTTATATTTTTAGATATTAATTAAGAGTCTGAGACATCTTATTATGTTTCTTAATTAGTATGCAACACTACTTATAAAGTCTAACAGATACCTAATATGTTTCTTCTGATGCCACCTTAACGACTTGCGAGGTTTGCTTGCTTTGTCTAATTTGGAGTCTTTTGTTTCGTTTTAGGACAATATTAAAAAAGTTTCCCCGCAAAATCCAGCTTCATGGAAAAAAAAAGTTGCTGCTAGAACATAGAAGCATGGAATATTTCAAAGAAATATAGGAGTCGACTTGTCAAGGAATTTGAATATTTAGTGTTTTTCTGTATTGGGCGAG